ACGAATACGATTTCTACCGCAGTTTTCCTGGTTTCCAGACCTTCTGTGAAATGCAAGGGGATCGGTTGCTGCACTGGTGAGTCTTGCTGCTCTCTTGCAGGCTGGTTGTGATGCCAAGATTGACATATTTTTTTTGAAGCTGTGGCACTTTGCACATTGCTTTTGCCCCGTGTCCCCAAGATGTGAACCACCCTGAGATCCATGGGTGTAGGGCGCTATACAAATTCAATTAATAATAATAATAATGAACTCCCCATCAGTCTTGTTTTGTCAGGAACTGGTTGGGTCTGGGAGAGGAGATCCAGGAAAGCTCAGGGTTGGACCAGCAGGAGGAAGATCCCAGGGGCTGCCATTGTGGGTGAAGACCCTGAGCAATGGTGACATAGGCAGTGGGGGAGGGAGTTGTTCCCTCGCTGAAACCCTCCCCCAAGTGAGTGCTGCTTGTCCCTCCCAACAACCCCATCAGCTCCCCCCCCCCCGGGGGGGAGGAGGTGGTTCCTGGGAATGAGTAAGTTCCCACACAGTTGGAGACCGAAGGTGGGTTAGGAGACCAGCCAAGGGAGAGGCAGCTGCTGGAGACACCACCACTGTCTCTTAGGTCTAGCAGGAGCCAGAAAAGGCAGCAGCAGGGACAGATCTTGCACCACAGCTTTCTCAAACTGCCAGATGACCTAAGGTAAGGGAGGGAGGAGCCCCAGGTCACTTCAGCTTAGCATTTCGGAGGCGAAAGGAAATTGGCATCAAGTAAAGCTGGATAGGGACGTGGGTGGCGCTGTGGGTTAAACCACAGAGCCTAGGATTTGCCGATCAGAAGGTCGGCGGTTCGAATCCCCGTGACAGGATCAGCTCCCGTTGCTCGGTCCCTGCTCCTGCTAACCTTGCAGTTCGAAAGCATGTCAAAGTGCAAGTAGATAAATAGGTACCGCTTCGGCGGGAAGGTAAACGCCGTTTCCGTGCGCTGCTCTGGTTCGCCAGAAGCGGCTTAGTCATGCTGGCCACATGACCCGGAAGCTGTACGCCGGCTCCCTCGGCCAATAAAGCGAGATGAGCGCCACAACCCCAGAGTCGGCCACGACTGGACCTAATGATCACGGGTCCCTTTACCTTTACCTAAAGCTGGATAGGCAATTAGTATGACCTATGGAGCCAAGAGGGGCTGATGTACCAAAGTGCTTTTATCAGTAGAGATTGTAGGACTAAGATTGCAGGTTCTGGTCACAGCTTGATTTCGGGGAGCCAAGACACGCTGCTAAGGATTGTGTGACACACTACAATACCCTGTTTTTTTCTCTTCCCAGCATGAGCAGAGTGATGCAGTACCATGGCTGCCGCAGCCACCTCCGGGACCGGAACAAGGTCACGGAACTGGAAGACAAGTTTGACCTGCTGGTCGATGCCAATGATGCCATCCTAGAAAGAGTGGTGAGCATTGTTGGGCCTTGTGCAGTGCTTCTCACTCCTAACACCCCACCCCTGAACACCTAGGGGTTGCTGCTCCATGAGAATCCCATGTTGGGTGTGATAATAATAATAATAATAATAATAGTACCCCGCCCATCTGACTGGGTTGCCCCAGTCACTCTGGGCAGCTTTCAGCAAATATAAAGGCATAATAAGATATCATACATTAAAAAATTCCCTGAGCGGGGCTGCTTTCAGATGTCTTCTGAAAGTCAGATAGTTGTTTATTTCCTTGACATCTGGTAGGAGGGTGTTCCACAGGGCAGGCATGACTACCGAGAAGGCCCTCTGCCTGGTTCCCTGTAACTTCACTTCCTGGAGTGAGGGAACCACCAGAAGGCCTTCAGAAGAGGACCTCAGTGTCCGGACTGAATGATGGGGGTGGAGACACTCCTTCAGGTATCCAGGGCCGAGGCAGTTTAGGGCTTTAAAGGTCAGCAACAAAACTTTGAATTGTGCTCAGGAACATGCTGGGAGCCAGTGTAGATACTTTAGGACCAGTGTTATATGGTCCTGGTGGCTGATCCCAGTCACCAGTCTTGTTGCTGCATTCTGGATTAGTTGGAGTTTCCAAGTCACCTTCATTGGTAGCCCCAGGTCCTTCCCCCAAAATTGCATCCTCCACCTGCCACCCCTGGTCTCACACTGTGACCTGCAATTTCAGGGCATGCTATTGGATGAAGCAGCAGGTGTCAACAAGAACCAGCAGCCTATCCTCCCCTCGGGCTTGCAGCCTCCTAAGACCATTGTCTCCAGCTGGAACCGCAAGGTGAGAAGCGTCCATTCTTCCTTTGTCCTTTAAGGGGTTCTTTCTCTTTAAGGCAGGGGTGGGGAAACCTGTGGCTGTCCAGACGGTGTCAGACTACCATCAGCCCCCACCCCAACGGTCAGGGCTGAAGGGGGTTGTCTGATTTTTCTCTTCCAGCAGACTGGGGAAGCCAACAAGCGAACGAAGTCAGAAACCTTCCGCCTGCTGCACGCCAAGAACATTGTCCGCCCTCAGCTCAAGTTCCGTGAGAAGGTGGACAACTCCAACACCCCCTTCGTCCCAAAGCTCTTTGTCAAGCCCAACGCTCTGAAGCCACTGCCAGAAGGTAAGGGCATGCCATCTCCAATGCAAGGCTGGGAGAGACTCCCTGCCTGAAACCTTGGAGAGCTGCTGTTGGTCAGTGTAGACCAGTGTTTCCCAACCTTGGGTCTCCAGCTGTTTTCGGACTACAGTTCCCATCATCCCTGACCACTGGTCTTTGCTAGCTAGAGATGATGGGAGTTGTAGTTAAAAAAAAAAAAGCTAGATGCCCATTGTTGGAAAACACTGGTGTAGACAACACTGAGGAAGGTGGACAAAAGGTCCCTAGCAGCTTGCTATGTTCCTGTTCTCAGAGTGCAAAGGTTATTATTGCAGAGGGAAAGCAGCAGGCTGCCAATTAAAAAATAAATAAATGCTAGAAAGTAGATCCATCACCTCTAACCCTTTTTTTCTCTCCGGACATCCAGTGCTCTCGAAAACCAGGCGGGAACGGAAGGAACGCCCGGAGGACTTGGATGTGCCAGCTGCCTTGGCCGACTTCCTCTATCAGCAGAGGACCCAACAGACTGAGCAGGACATGTAAGAGAGCGATTGGTCAAGCAGGTCGGGGCCTTTCAGTTCCCCCGAGTTTGACAGGTGGCCGGGGGCGGGGGAAGGCACCCACTTGTCAAAATGCCTGGCGGCACGACCAGCACAAAGCTTCGCAGGACCCAGGGATCAGCTTGATTGTCGAGGCTCGCACACCCTGTATTGGCCCAACCATGTCCTTCGTTGGCTACTAGCCAAGAAGGTTACATTCTCCCGCCTCTGTCCAAAGCAATATGCCTTTGAATGCCAGTTATTGGGAATCGCAGGTAAGGAGAGAACTGCTGTTGCGCTTAAGTCCTGCTCTTAAGCTTTGGGGCATCTGTCTGGCCACTGCGAGAACAGGAGGCTGGACTAGACAGGTCCCCTTTGCCCTGATCCAGTTTCGGGGCTCTTCCTGAGTTCTTACGTACCTGCCCCCACACCTGTGATGCCATGTTTGACGTCAGGTATACAGCAGGTGTGTGTGGTTTGTCCCTAAATGGCCTGGCAGGCCTAAATATCTCCCTAGGCAATTGATTCTGCATCTGGAGCTTGCTCAGAGCTCTCTAACTTTCCCTTCTCCTTCCTCTCATCATAAAAGGTTTGCTCACCCTTACCAGTACGAATTGGCACATTTTTCACCACCAGCCGAACTTCTTGAAAAGCCACAAGTTCAGGTAAGCTTTCTTTCTTTCTTTCTTTCTTTCTTTCTTTCTTTCTTTCTTTCTTTCTTTCTCAAATAATGCTTCTTTCTCAAATAATGTTTCATTGAGTAGATCACGCACAAAAGTTAAAGCCTTCTGGCTTCGTGCCTGCCGAGCTGTAATGCCTTGCTACACCTTGTGTAGTGGTTAAGAGCAGTAGACTCGTAATCTGGTGAACCGGGTTCGTGTCTCCACTCTTCCACATGCAGCTGCTGGGTGACCTTGGGCTAGTCACACTTCTGTGAAGTCTCTCAGCCCCAATCATCTCACAGAGTATTTGTTGTGGGAGAGGAAGGGAAAGGAGAATGTTAACGGCGTAGTGATAAAGCAGGATATCAAATACAAACTCTTCTCCCCTCCCAGATGTTCAGGCCCCTGGAGGAGACACCCTGCCACTTCATCTCCACCTTGGACGAGCTGGTGGAGTTGAACGAGAAGCTGGTGGGCTGCAAAGAGTTCGCCCTGGACTTGGAGGTAAGAATTTGTCCTGGTTTTTTAGTTTTGTGTCCTGCAGCAAAACTTTTGCAATGGGCCGAGAAGATCCAGGTGTGAAGTGCTCATAGCTTGGATTCAGCTTGGATCTTCTGTTAACTCCACAATCTTTCAAATCATTAATTTAATTCACACTTCTGACAGAGTGCAACTGTGGTCCTATACGGGCCTAGAAAGCTGCTTCTTATACAAAACCAGATGATTGGGTCCATCTAGCTTGGTATTTTCTAAAATGACTGGCAGCTGCCATCCTGGCTTTCAGACAAGGAGTCTCTCCCAGCCCTACTTGGAGATGCTGCCGGGTAATTTATTTATTTCATTAAAAAAATTACACCACTGGATTGTAAAAAAACAAAAACAAACAGTTTACAAAGTCAATAAAGCAATGACATAATCAGCAAAAGCAGTAAAAATAACTATTAAACATTCAAAAAATTAAAACCAGCTGTAAACTAAAAAACTGATTAAAACATACATCAACATTCTGCATGCCTGGGTAAAGGTAAAGGGACCCCTGACCATTAGGTCCAGTCGTGACCAACTCTGGGGTTGCGGCGCTCATCTTGCTTTATTGGCTGAGGGAGCTGGCATACAGCTTCTGGGTCATGTGGCCAGCATGACTAAGCCACTTCTGGCGAACCAGAGCAGCGCATGGAAACGCCGTTTACCTTCCCGTCGGATCGGTACCTCACGGTACCGCTCACCCCGTTGCAGGGATTCGAACAACTGACCTTCTGATCGGCAAGCCCTAGGCTCTGTGGTTTAACCCACAGCACCACCCGCGTCCCCATTTGTATAAGGTGCGCCACCCGCATCCCTACATGCCTGGGTAAGGCTTGTCTAAACAAAAAATGTTTTTAGCAGGCTCTGAAAATAGTTCCTCCAGTTACCCACCCAGGGAAGGCGAGCTGTTGTGTTTGCTGTGAATTGATGGACCCCTTTCCTTTCTTACTCTCCCTCTCTCATGCTGCCCTCCACAGCACCATTCCTACCGGAGTTTCCTGGGCTTGACATGCCTTATGCAGATTTCCACCCGGACAGAAGATTTCATCATCGACACGTTGGAGCTGCGTAGTGACTTGTACATCTTGAACGAGACCTTCACAGACCCTGCAGTGGTCAAGGTGAAAGGCCTTTTTTTTCTTATTACAAATGGCAGAAGGTTCAAGTTTGGGTTTGCCCTTCACCCTGCTCTTCCAGTCAAGCTTAAAACAACAAGCTGATGCAAATAAAATCTAGCAGGGTTGTCCAGGTGCTTCTTCTAAGGACAGATGCCTCAAGCTGAGGAACTGAGCCTGGAGGAGCAGCCGGGCTCCTCTTGGTTCCTCAAGTCACCTGGCCAGGCTGGACCGATGAGTTGCAGTGCCCTTTTTGGCCATTTGCATTAACGGCTCTGTAGAGCAGCAGACACCAAGCCAGTAAGCATAAGGATGGGCAGGCTGTGGCCCTCCAGATGTTCTGGGGCTCCCAGCTCCTATCTGGCATCTTCTCTTGTGTCCAGGGACAACAGTAATTGTAGAAACATTGGGGGGGAGGGGACCCATTTGCACTAACGGCTCTGTAGAGCAGCAGACACTAAGCCCGTAAGCCTAAGGATGGGCAGGCTGTGGCCCTCCAGATGTTCTGGGGCTCCCAACTCCTATCTGGCATCTTCTCTTGTGTCCAGGGATAACAGTAATTGTAGAAACACGGGGGGGGGGAGACCCTTGCAAAAAGCTGCGAACTGCCCCAGGGGTGCAGAAATTCAAGTGCTTAGACCAGAGTTTCCTAAACTTGGGTCTCCCAATTGTTTTTTGACTACAGTCTCCATCATCCCTGACTACTGGTCCTGCTAGCTAGTGATGGTGGGAGGTCCCCCCCCCCCCAGTTGTTATTTATACTTTTCAAGTTCATACGTTTCATTAGTTTTACAATCAATTTAACATTTCAGAGTTTGACTTCCTTCCCCCTCTTTCTGCGGTTCCTTACATTTATTCTTTCATATCTTCTGCATATCTAAATTAACTTAATTTGCTCATTTATTCATTTTCTTTACATATATACTCTTATAAAACTGCAGGTTATTACAATAATCCTGCCAATGTTTTTATCTGTTTGCAATTTGTCTGTAAGTATTCGATAAACCATTTCCATTCTTTTTATAAAAAGATTGTTATCTTGATTTCTTATTCTTCCGGTAAGTTTCGCCATATCTGCATATTCCATAAGCCTTTGTATCCATTCTTCCTTTGCTGGTACTTCTGCTTCTTTCCACTTTTGAGTGAGTAGCGTTCTTGCTGCTGTAAATAAATAAATTTCTATACGGTTTAGTTAGTTCTGTCCCTATAATTCCCAAAAGAAAAGCTTCTTGTTTTGTTTTGTTTTTTTACAAAAGTTATTTTGAACATCCTTTTCAATTCATTATATATCATTTCCCAGTAAGCTTAAACCAGGCATAGGCAAACTCGGCCCTCCAGATATTTTGGGACTACAACTCCTATCATCCCTAGCTAACAGGACCAGTGATCAGGGATGATGGGAGTTGTAGTTCCAAAACGTCTGGAGGGCCAAGTTTGCCTATACCTGGCTTAACCTTACTACAAGACCACCAGGGATGATGAGCGTTGTAGTCCAAAAACAGCCGAAGACCCAAGTTTCGGAAACCCTGGCCTAGGCAGTGCCAACCTGGAATGACCAGAAGGATACATATATGGGTGGGTGGGAAGACAGGGAACCTTCTTGACATTTCCCCCGCTATTTATGGCTCTGGTGCTTCGCAGGTCCTGCACGGGGCTGACTCAGACGTGGAGTGGCTCCAGCGAGACTTCGGCCTCTATTTGGTGAACGTCTTCGACACCCACCAGGCGGCTCGGCTCCTCAATCTCGGCCGGCACTCCCTGGACCACTTGCTCAAGCTCTACTGCAAGGTGGATGCCAACAAACAGTACCAGCTGGCGGACTGGAGGATACGGTATGGAGGGGTGTGGGTAGATTTGGGATGTTCCAATCCCATCTTGAGGTTATACCAATGTGAGTCTGTGCAACAAGCTTCCATCCACCCTGGTCTCCCAGAACCAGAAGAGGCATGAAGCGGGAGGGGCAACGATAGGCAAGCAGGCGCAGTCTTTGATTGCTTGGGGAAAACCCTAGAGAGGAGAAGACATAGATGGCTGTAGGGAGGTGGGGACCTCTAGTCTTGGCAAGTGATCCATGAGGGAAGACCTGCAGGGGATGAGCTGCTGTCCTCATTAGGCCCGATCATCCACCAAGTTTGTGCAGATCCTGTTCTTTTATTATTATTTTATTTATACTTTTGAAATTCGTACATTTCATTAGTTTTACAATCAATTTAACATTTCAAAATTTGACTTCCATCCCCCTCTTTCTGTGGTTCCTTACATTTATTTTTTAATAGCTTCTGCATATCCAAGTTCATTTAACATCCTCATTTTATTATCTACTGTCTACTCTTTTAAAACTGCAGATTATTACTCTAATCCTGCTAATGTTTTTATCTGTTTACAATATATCTGTAAATATTCAATAAACCATTTCCATTCTTTTATAAAAAAGTTTGTTATCTCAATTTCTTATTCTTCCAGTAAGCTTTTCTGCGCATTCCATAAGCTTTTGTATCCATTTCTCCTTTGCTGGGACTTCTGCTTCTTTCCACTTTGGGGCAAGTAGCATTCTTGCTGCTGTAGTAGCATACATAAATAAATTTCTATACAATTTAGCTAGTTCTGTCCCTATAATTCCTAAATGAAAAGCTTCTGAGTTTTTTTAAAAAAATAAAAGTTACTTTGAACATCCTTTTCAATTCGTTAAAAATCATTTCCCAAGGAAATGAAATGTGCGGGTCCCATTCTTGCTAATAAAGAGTTAACTCCGCTTTGTGTGATTTACTGCTGGCTCCCTCCTGACCACCACACCCGAGATTCCCCGTAATCCATGTTTCTTTGTCTCTCCTCTAGACCCCTCCCAGAAGAGATGCTCAATTACGCCCGTGACGACACGCATTACTTGCTGTACATCTACGACCGGGTCAGGGAGGAGCTTTGGGAGAAGGCCAACGGGCAGCCTACTCAGCTCCAAGTGGTGTGGCAGCGGAGCAAGGACATCTGCTTGAAGGTGAGCTCCCTGTGTTGGGCAGAGGCATGCAAGGGAAGGAGGAGCGCGCACACACACACACACCCTCCATCCCCAGATAGGAAAATGCAGCACACTAGACAAGAGTTTCAAAAAGCATGGGGGAAATGCAGAGAATACCGTATTTTTCGCCCTATAGGACACACTTTTCCCCCTCCAAAAATGAAGGGGAAATGTGTGTGCGTCATATGGGGCGAATGCAGGCTTTCGCTGAAGGAAACTCTCCGCAAGCCTTGGGAGCCCGGCGCGACTTCCCACCAGGCTTCCTAGGCTTGTGGATAGCAGCCTGCATCCCGAAGCCTGGGGTGCGCTGAGCAGCGTGCCCCAGGCTTCGGGCAGATTCCCGCCGGGCTCCCAAGGCTTGCGGATATCAGCCTGTTCTGGGGGCTGGGGTCAGGGGAAGCTCGGGCTTCCCCCGCCCCAGCCCCGCGCCTGGGGGGGGGGATAAACATTTTTTTCTTTATTTCCCCCTCTCCAAAACTAGGTGTGCCCTATGGGCCAGTGCGCCCTATGGGGCGAAAAATATGGTACTTCACAAAACAGTGCCCTAAAATACATACCTGGACTTGTTTTGATTATTGTCTGCAGGAGACTTTGTGGATATTTAAGTTATAATTAGAAAAATCTTAATAATTATTCGTAAAGGAAACCATTTATAAGAAGTAAATAAGGAGGACAGATACAGGATAAAGGAAGTCTTTAATTTGGTTGTTTGTATTGTTGTATGTTATGCTCATTGTAATGTTCACGTTTAATGAGGGTGGATTTGTGTATTGGGGGGTGGGGGGTTTATGTTATGTTGTAAATAAAATTCCAATAAAAAAAGGAAAGAAAAAAGAAAATGCAGCATGGAAGGCTTTGAGCGGGTGCTGGGAACTAGAGTTTAGCACAGGGGCAGCCAACCTGTTGCCCTCCCAGGCATCGCTGGACTCCCACCTGCGCCAGGCAGCTGGGGGTCAGGGATTACCCCTGCCAGCAGCAGCACACAAATCCTTACAGGTCGCTCATGCCGCTTCCACCTGCCTCTTCTCCCTTAGAAATACGTCAAGCCCATCTTCACCGAAGACTCGTACCTGGAGCTCTACCGGAAGCAGAAGAAGCACCTCAACAGCCAGCAGCTGGCGGCCTTCCGGCTCCTCTTTGCCTGGAGGGACAAGATGGGGCGGCAGGAAGATGAGAGCACGGGGTGAGCTCTTTTACAGGGGACTGCCGGAGCGGGCTATAGGATCCAGTGTGGTGTAGTGGTTAGAGTGTCTGACTAGGACCTGGGAGAGACGCGCGTTCTGGTCCCCACTTGGTCCTGGAGCTCTCACTGACCCAGTCACTTCCTTGCTCAATCCAGCCTATCTCGCAGGGCTATCGTTGGTATTAAATGAGTGGCGAGCCGTCCACTTGGCCTCCTTGGGGGAGAAATGTGGGGTATAAATGCTATAAATAAAAGGGGAGCTTTTAGAATCGGGAGGCAACGGAGCCCTTGCTCGGCAAAGGAATCCTTTCAAAGCTGCCTGTACCACTGAGCCTCTTGAGCTTGCTGATCGTAAGGTTGGCAATTCGAATCCGTGCAACACTGGTGAGCTCCTGTTGCTCTGTCCCAGCTCCTGCCAACCTAGTAGTTCGAAAGCAGGGCAGTGCAAGTAGATAAATAGGGACTGCTGTGGCAGGAAGGCAAATGGCGTTTCCATGTGCTCTGGTTTCCATCGCGGTGTCCCGTTGCACCAGAAGTGGTTTAGTCCTGCTGGCCACATGACCCAGAAAGCTGTTTGTGGACAAACACCGGCTCCCTCGGCCTGAAAGCGAGATGAGCGCTGTCCAGGGGTCCTTTACCTTTTACCTTTACCAGCAGTGGAAAACTGGATCTGGCCAGGGGGGCAGATCATTATTTCACCCACCCACCCACCCACCTCTTCCTCCACAGGCCACGCTTGACAGGTGGGCAGAGTCATAGTAGGAATTGAGGTTTCTATCTGTCCCCTACAGGCTTGTTTCCCTTCCTCTTCCTCTCTAAAAGGGGAAGGAGAAAGAGAGTTAAAGCTAGTAGTATATTTGGCAGGTCTCTTTACAAGAGTGATCTCAACGTGTAGTGCAAGTAGTGGCATTTAACACTTAGTTAGTCATTGATTCATTGGAGGTTTTCCAACAGAGTTTGGATGGCCATCTGCCTGTGATTCTCTAGTTGTGATGCTAGCATTGCGGGGGGTTGGACTCGATGACCTTTGGGGGACCCTTTCCAAATCTACGATTCTACCATTCATTTCTCCCCTTGTCCTGCAGGTATGTGCTGCCGAACCATATGCTGCTCAAGATAGCGGAGGAGCTGCCCAAGTGAGTATGCCTTTTGCTTTGCAAGTGGAACAACAGGTGTTTATTTGCAGCAGCAGCAATGAAAAAACACGCATGTGCTGCCAACACTTGAGAAAAAATGTACATCATGGCCACAAACAGAATAAACTCCCCAAAGCCAAATGACATCCCCATTAAACAAATGCACGGAACACATCACTAATCAGTAGATCCAATTAATAGTATTTGAAACATTAGCTGAGTCACCTCTTTGGGGAAAGCATGGGGTGAACAGGTGAATTTTGAAACTGGGTGCCCAAATACAGTGGTGCCTCGCAAGACGAAATTAATCCGTTCCGCGAGTGTCTTCGTCTAGCGGTTTTTTCGTCTTGCGAAGCAACCCTATTAGCGGCTTAACGGATTAGCGCTATTAGCGGTTTAGCGGCTATTAAAGGCTTAAAGGCTTAGCAGATTAGCAGCTAAAAGGCTATTAAAGGCTTAGCAGCTTAGATAAAGGGGGGGGGAAAGTGAAAAAAAAAATCTCAAGACTCGCAAGACATTTTCGTCTTGCGAAGCAAGCCCATAGGGGAATTCGTCCTACGAAGCAACTCCAAAACGGAAAACCCTTTCGTCTAGCGGTTTTTCCGTCTTGCGAGGCATTCGTCTTGCGGGGCACCACTGTAGTAATTTTCCTTTCCCCCAAAGTGGCAGGTTTTCCATGAGAAAATTTGATCAGAAGCTAGGAAGAAAAAATGCTCCTCCTATCGGAATTCTTTCTGCTTTCCTTCTTCATCCTCTCCCAACCTTTACATCTCTATTGGGGAAAGGCATTGCAGACACCCCTGCGGCTTTTCTTCCTTCTTCTCCTGTGATTGGTCTGTGGCTCCATCATTCTTCTGTGCCCAACCACATTCCTTTAAGGACCAGCTCTGGGACAGGAAGCGGCTAAGATCATCCTGGTCCTATAGCATCTCAGGGTCAACACCCTGTTGTTGTTGTTGCTGCTGCTGCTGTAGTTGTTACATTGCAGGGGTTGGACTTGATGAACCATTTTGTCCCTTCCAGCTGCACAACGCTATGATTTTCATCAGCTAGCATTTTATCTTGTTTAAAATGTCCTTCTCCTTTTGTTGATTTGCAGGGAGCCCCAGGGCATCATCGCCTGCTGCAACCCAGTTCCTCCCCTTGTTCGCCAGCAGATCAACGAAATGCACCTCTTCATCCAGCAGGCCAGAGAGATGCCTCTGTTGAAGGTATGGGGGTGCAGTTTTAAGTACAGGGCAGCTGTGTTTCAAAGCAACTGAACAGGTTAATCCCAGGCATCTCTATGGAGTTGGAAGAAGAAGAAGAAGAAGAGGAAGAATTCTATTATTTATACCCCACCCATCTGGCTAGGTTTCTCCAGCCATTCTGGGCAACTTACAGCACATAAAAAATTGTAAAACATTAAAAAATTCCCAATACAGGGTTGCTTTCAGATGTATTCTAAAAGTCAGATAGTTGTTTATTTCCTTGACAACTGATGGGAGGGCGTTCCACAGGGCTGGTGCCACCACCAAGAAGCCCCTCTGTCTGGTTCCCTGTAACCTCACATCTCTCAGTGAGGGAACTGCCAGAAGGCCCTCAGAGCTGGACCTCAGTGTCCGGGCTAAACAATGGGGGTGGAGACACTCCTTCAGGAGAGACTCCTGTCTCTGAATTCTTAGAGAGCTGCTGCCCGTCAGTATAGACAATACTGAGGTAGGTGGGCCAACAGTCTGACTTGATAGAAGGAAGCTTCCTCTGTTCCTAGGATCATACTAACTCTCTTCCCTAAAATCACCCTGCTCTTATGCCAAGTTAGCACCAGTTATGCAATAAGATTAAAATTATGCACTGTTTGTCAGCCTTCTAGCATATGTTTTCTTGAGCAGTTAGAATTTTTTTTAAAATAATTTTTATTAACCGGCCAATCAAATCAAATCACATCACATAAATTCCGAATTACAAAGCCGAATTTTAAATTTTGTTGAGGGGACCCATATTTCAAGATCCGAAGGGGGATTCTGATCATCTTCTTGCTACTGCGTTAATGTCCAAATCAGTCCAAACAAAGTTCATAATTCTATCCAGTCTTATCTTGCTGTTTCCACATCACATCTTGTTCATATATTTTCTCTTTATGATCTCTTCTGATAGTCTCCTTAAGCCGATAAACACCAATAATAATCCTGTGTGAATTAGCAGTTAGAATTTTTATGGGCATTCCTTGACTGCTGATATCATTGCTGTTCAGCCTGTGACTGGGAAGTAGACTTGGAGGTGTCAGGGTGGAGCATTTGTGTGTGTGTGCAAGAGATCTTTAATGTGATCTTAATTTTATCCTTATAATTATTTCTCCTTGCCCCCTCTTAGTCTGAAATTGCAGTTGGAGTGAAAAAGAGAGGACCTCTTCGAAACACAGAGGTAAGCTTTTTTCTGATGCCAATCTTGCATTTGTTTTACTTTTTCATGTACCGAATTTACATACCACTTGACTGGAGTGAGACATCTAAGCGGCTTATAGGGAAATATTAATATTATCAATAGAAAAACAGCTTGAAATAATTTAACCTGAAGTGTAAGAGATTGAGACACATTGATGTGTGTCTATTTGGACAGGCTTGCCTAAACAAAAATGTTTTAAGCGGGGGACTAAAAAGAGTGCAGCGACAGCTCCTGCCTGGTGTCAATAGGCAGGGAGTTCCAAAGTTCAGATTCAGCCACACTAAAAGGTCAGTTAATAATAATAATAATAATAATTTATTATTTATACCCCGCCCATCTGGCCACTCTGGGCAGCTTCCAACAGAATATTAAAATACAATAACCTATTAAACATTAAAAGCTTCCCTAAACAGGGCTGCCTTCAGATGTCTTCTAAAAGTCTGGTATTTGTTTTCTCTTTGACATCTGGTGGGAGGGCGTTCCACAGGGCAGGTGCCACTACCAAGAAGGCCCTCTGCCTGGTTCCCTGTAACTTGGCTTCTCACAGTAACTGCCAGAAGGCCCTGAGAGCTGGACCTCAGTGTCTGGGTAGAATGATAGGGGTGGAGACGCTCCTTCAGGTATACTGGACCAAGACCATTTAGGGCTTTAAAGGTCAGCACCAACACTTAGTTTCTTCCAACTAAGGAACAAGTATTATGTGACGTCCGCAGATCAATGCAGCTAGGTGGGCACACTGGGGGTACGGCGATCCTGCAAGTACTGCTTGCAAGAGGTTAAAGGCTTTACCTGCCAACAGTAAGTAGATAAATAAAAAGTTTAAGGGTTCTGCGTGTTGTAGCTTTGCATGCCGAAGGTCATAGGTTCAATCTCCAGCTGGGTGTGAGAGTTTCTGCCAGTCAGGGTAGGTAAACCTGAGGGAGAGGGGCCAATGGTTTGACCTGATATCAAGCAGTTCCCTATGTGACCAGCCCTTCCTTCAGAATCACGAGGGCTAGGATATCTTTAATTTCCTTTGGCAGAAGCCGGAGAATCATTTGTTTGGACCTCACGACAGCTCGCACGTGCCTCAGGACGAGAAGCCAAACCACGTGGATCCAGGTGGGTCTGGAAAGAGGGGTGAAGAGGGGCCCCCACCCCCCACCCCTGGGTTTTATTTTTCCCCCAAAATTTTTTTTATTGGTTTTCACAATATTATAAACAAACAAACAACCATAAATCATAGCCTTATTGAAAATTACACTTATTAACTTTGTTAAGTGACTTCCTCGCTTCCCCTTGGTTAACTTTCATTGCATATCCTTTTAACGGTTTTCCAAATCACAATTCTTACAAAATTTAACTTAAACATTAACATCCTTAAATCTTCACATTATAAAATTAAACATATTAATTCATCACTTAACATAAATAAAATCCTAAGTCAATTAAGTACCTGCAAGCTGTTTTCAGTTAATTTAACTTAACATATTTAACTAAATAATCATTAAATTTAATCCACTCTTCCTGATACTCCTCCTCCTTCTGGTCGCGGACTCTTCTGGTTAGGTCAGCTAGCTCTGAAAAATCCATCATCTTCATCTGCCATTCTTCTATCATTAGTAATTCTTGGGTTTTCCACTTTTTAGCTAACAAGATACGAGCAGCAGTTGTGGGTTAGAACCCCTGGGCTCTAAACGCACAAACCCCTGTAACTGGTTCACTTTGTTGGCAGGCTCCCACGATTCTGTGGGGGAAGCCATGACAGTTTAAAGCGGTCTGGCACAGCCTTAAATGTATAGTGCAGATGGGCCCTATATAACTGTGTGGGTCTACGAGTCTGTCAACCTAAGTTGCCTCAGGGGGAGTGTTAAAAAGTAAGGAAAGGAGAACCATGCGCCCATCGCGAAATCCGTTTGAGGATTAAAATGTAATAAGTAAATGGTAGTCTTTGTTTAAAAAAGGTTTATTTATACTTTTCAAGTTTATACATTTCATTAGTTTTACAATCAATTTAACATTTCAAAGTTTGACTTCCTTCCTCCTCTTTCTGCGGTTTCTTACATTTAAAAAAAAAATCTTCTGCCTATACAAACTAACTTAATTTACTCATTTATTCATTTTCTTTAAATATATACTCTTATGAAACTGCAGGTTATTACAGTAATCCTGCCAATGTTTTTGTCTGTTTGCAATTTAACTGTAAGTATTCAATGAACCGTTTCCATTCTTTTTATAAAAAGTTTGTTATCTTGATTTCTTACTCTCCCGGATAAGTTTCGCCATTTCTGCACATTCCATAAGTTTTTCTATCCATTCTTCCTTTGCTGGGACTTCTGCTTCTTTCCACTTTGGGGCAAGTAGCACTCTTGCTGCTGCTGCTGTAGTAGCATGCATAAATAAATTTCTATGCAATTTAAAGTAAATGGTAGTCTTAATTCCTTGTGTTTTTGTTTCCTTCCCCCTCCTCTTGTCATTCAGCACCTGGGCTGAGCCGGGAGCAGGTGCGCCTCTTTTCAGAAGCAGAGGAGGAGACGGAAAGGTCGGACGAGTCGCCAAGTCTGTCCTGCCTTCTGCTGAGAGCCAGCATTGACATCTTTAATGTAGGTTAGGTTTCTGAGAACAGGACAGGGGACCAAATGAGCTAGAACAGGGGTAGGGAACAGTATTCAGCTGTTGGCCCACAATCCTGGTCTTTCCCCCAGCCACTTGGGAGCCAGGGGCACAATCCCTGTCTCTTCCCTCCCCTGCCCCACTGAATGGGGCATGATCCTTGTCTCTGCCCGTGTTTGACACCTAGCTTGGGTTGCCCACCTATCAGTCGCCTGACCTCACAACAGATTAAAAAGCAAGTACAGTTGTACCTTGGCTGTCAAACGGAATCCGTTCTGGAAGTCCGTTCCACTTCCAAAACATTCGGAAGCCAAGGCGCGGCAGGAGCTTCCTGCACGCAATCAGAAGCTGCGTCGGACGTTCGGCTTCCAAAGAACGTCCACAAACTGGAACACTTACTTCCGGGTGCGCGGCGTTCGGGAGTCAAAACGTTCGAGTCGCAAGGCAAGGCGTTCAGGATCCAAGGTACGACTGCACTAAAATCTCTAGGTTACAGTGGAACCTTGGTTCTCAAACGGCTTAGTTGACAAATCGGCTCCCAAACGCCGAAAACCCAGAAGTAAGTGTTCCGTTTTCCAAACGTTTTTCGGAAGCTGAACATCGGACTTGACTTTCACTTGAGTGCAGGAAGCTCCTGCAGCCAATCGGAAGCTGCGCCTTGGTTTTTGAACAGTTTCAGGAGTCGAACAGACTTCCGGAACGGATTAAGTTTGAGAACCAAGGTTCCACTGTATTTATTAATTAAAGCAACAGTGGATCAAAATGCTATAAACAACCAGCCAAACCAGAAGTACAATTCAGCATCTGTTTGCTTCTATGTACTGTTCTTTTAAAGCAAACGGGAGGGCGGGAAACCTTGATATTTAAAATACAATCTTAACGCATTCAGGAGATTTCCAGGCAGGCCTCTCCAATTCTGTACTTAGTCCCACTAATCTATATTTCTGCCTTCCCAAAGGAGACAGAAGCAAGTGAGGAAGAGGACGAGAGTTTGACAGTCACCCAACGGAAAGCCCGCCAGATCATGGAATCCTTTGAAAACCCATTCCGAATGGTAAAAAGTCCTTGTTTTCCTACCCAGTGGTTTGGCTCGTATGTAACACTTACAACCATGGTTTGCTTAACAACTGTGAGCTAACTGCAGATGATCAAGCAAACCACAACTCATTTATTACAAAGTCTGTTCTGTCTTCCAGCTTCTTGTTCCTCGTGCCTTTGTATTTTGGGGTGCGGTGGCCAAACAAACCGTGCTTGATAAAGGGTACTGGGCTCACACATAATGCCAAGATATAATTAAGCCAAGCCAAGCTTGGTAAAGACAGCAACAAACCATGGCTTCAGATCATGGTTTACTAACATTCGAACAAGCCATTGGGCAGGGTTTGCACCACGCCAAACCCTGGGTTAGTAAACCATAGCTTAGCATTATGTGTGAACCTAGCCAGTGTTAATAAGCAAATGACAACTCCCATCATCTCTAACTTAGTGGCTGTGCATATTTTAATCATAACATTTTCCTGCCATCCTGTTGTAGGGAGAAGGAAAACATTTCCAAGTTGTAAGAATTTTTTTTAAAAAAAGCAAACCCAGAGATTTTTCATGTTGCCCTTCTTTCTCTCTTTTTGTCTTGGCAACGTGTTTATATATGTAAACAGATATATTGCTTGTTAATGCAGCATCTGAATTGGACAAACTCCACAGCTGGAAAGCTGTTGCTTCTAGGGGGCTTTGTGAGGCTCCCCACTCCTTGGGAGTTGCAGAATTCATACTGCAAGATAGATTCCTGCAGCACGAATCCTTTTGGGGGAGTGAAGTGGTCCCTTGGAATTCTGATTTCTTTTAATTAACAAGCGGTGCACCCCACTTTTAATCCAGAATTGGTTCCCCCAAACAGCTTACAGTTGCAAGTGGGCCCTGGTTAGTCAAGCTCAGAAGTGGGGAATCTGGCCAGGGCAGCAGGCAGGTTGTGGCCCTCCAGACCTCTCTGTGTGGCCCTCTGGCCCCTCCCCAAGCCACACCCCTTCACTGTTCCTGCTCCAAACACTCCTTGAATTCTTTTGCCTGGCTGGAATATGTCTTTGAACTCTTGAGTATGTCTTTGAATTCTTGCTTGTCTGGACAGAGAATAAAGAGGGCTGTATGTGTGAGAGAGGCTGGCAGAGAGAGACAGAGAAGAAACTAGTTAGGCGAAGGCAAAATTAACATTAATTGCTCTGCTTGCTTTTGCCACGTGGCCCCTGGAAGGTTACTCGGAAGGGAAATGTGATCCTCGGGCTGCAGAGGGTTCCCCAGCCCTAATCTAGATATTAGGGGATATCTATATACCTATGGGACCACCTCTCCTGGTATGCCCCACGGAGGACCTTAAGGTCCATAAATAGCAACACCCTAGAGGTCCCGGGCCCTAAGAAAGTTAGATTAGCCTCAACCAGAGCCAGGGCCTTCTCAACACTGGCTCTGGCCTGGTGGAACGCTCTGTCTCATGAGACCAGGGCCCAGGGGGATCTGATTTCTTTCCACAGGGCCTGTAAGACAGAGTTGTTCCACCTGGCCTTTGGCTTAGAATCAGTTTGATTCCCTCCCCCTCTTTCTTTTTCCTTTCTCCTCCTGTGAAGAGGCTGCATCCTAATGTTTTAATGTATTTTAATCTTGTTTTTTAAATTGTATTTTAATCAACTTGTTTTTATTATTGGTTGTTAGCTGCCCTGAGCCCGGTCTTGGCTGGGGAGGGTGGGGTATAAATAAATTTTTATTATTATTATTATTCCCATGGTCGTATTTTTCCTTCCCTCCAGTATTTGCCAGCGGACCAGAACCCCGCTCATATCTCCCAGTTGGCAAAGTTTGACCCGTCATCGAAAATCTACGAGGTAAGAACGGTTATTTCACAAAACTGCCCCCTGCTCTGGTTATAAGCCGGAGTTGTCCACACTGGCTGCCATTGGCCTTTGGGCTGTGGTTCCCTCCAATTCTGCCGCCTGATCCTGTTAACTGGAGAACAACAGGAGCGTGGGTGGCAATCTGCCTCACACCACGTCTGACCATTGTTTCATCTAGCTCAGGGCTGTCAACACTGACAGGCAGCGGGTCCCCAGGGTTTGAAATGGGTCCGTCTCCCTACCGTACCTGGATCTGCCAGGGATCAAACCTGAGACCCTCTGTACACAATGCAGGTTCCTCAACCACTGTGCTACTGCCCGCGCCCTCCCTGGAGATTGGGCTGGCTGGGCCACATGCACCAGAACACGGTGTAACATTGGCAGAGTTGCAATTTTTGTGTGTGTGTGTGTTTCCTCCTCCCAGATCAGTAATCGGTGGAAGCTCCTAAGCCAGGCCCAGCTTCAAGCAGGGACAAAGAAAGAATCTGCTAAGAAGAAGATCCAGCAGACAGGTGTGAGGCTGGCCTGTTTGTTTTTGTTTTGTTTTTATTATATTTTTGTTAAAGATTTCTTAGTTTACAAAAAAATACATGCATTGTCTCTTTTTTTCAAGTTGCGTTTTCTACAGATCAAATGTTTCTTTTTAATAGCTTTAATGAAATTTGCCAAAATCTACACTACCGACATGGGCTGCCACACGTCCCATGGGACATTTCAGCTATTACGAGGGCTGAATACCAGCTACATCCGGGAAATCCTAGACGTATGGCAACCCTAGGCTTGGGTGTCCTGGATTCTCAAAGCTCTGATTGACCACAATGCATCGCTAGTTGTGTGCCAGCATGGCAGTCCTTGTGCTAACTTTGCCCTTTCCATCCTTCCCCCACCAGCAGCTCATGAAGTCCCCAAGAAGGAAAGCAAAGGCAAAGCGGAAAACGCAGTCTCTGTCCGCCAGCTGGTTGCGGTAAGTGGGGTCCCCCGACCCAGCATCTACGACTAAACGTTTGCAGATCTAGGGCCCATCTTTTAGTCCATGGGTAGGCAAACTAAGGCCCAGGGGCCAAATCTGGCCCAATCGTCTTCTAAATCCAGTCTGCGGACGGTCCGGGAATCAGCTTGTTTTTACATGAGTAGAATGTGTCCTTTTATTTAAAATGCATCTCCGGGTTATTTGTGGGGCATAGGAATTTGTTTAGTTTCCCCCCAAAAAAATATAGTCCGGCCCCCACAAGGTCTGAGGGACAGTGGACCGGCCCCCTGCTGAAAAAGTTTGCTGACCTCCTTTTTAGCCCAAACATACATTTGGGGACCCACCCCCAGCCACACTCATCTGTAAAAATACTATCCCAATTTTTAAAAACCTCAGTGTCGACTTGCATGTAAAATATTATAGCTGAGGACCAGGGATCTAGATCTAGATTTGGGGGGCCCTGCCTCCTTGGCTCCATAAACCCATCCACAGTGCGTCCTACCCTATAAAAAGCGTAATTCAGAATAGTGGTTATCTGCGGCCATACTACTCTGAACACACCCAGTCTTGTCTGATCTCAGAAGTTAAGCAGGATCAGGCTTGGTTCGTACTTGGATGGGAGACAGCTCAGGAATACCGGGTGCTATAGCCTAAAAAGTATGGATTTGTCATGGCTTTTGACTAGTACAATAAATTTATTGGTGGTGATGAACCAAGGTAGACAATAATCCAAGGAAGTTTAAAACAGCAACACTTAATTTTACACTCATTCAAAATCCCATTAAAACTATTTACATTCTTTACATGGAGGTCAACCTATAGAATTTCTAGGAACATGCATGTTTGTTTTGTGTTTATTTACTCCATCTTCTTTGCCACGTTTCCCCCAAGGGAGGCTGTAGGTTACTGGTTCGCTAACTTTTTTCTCTGAGACACACTTTCAGAATAACAAATTGTTCATTCAGTAATGTATTTCTTTATTGAGAAACAAAAATAATCACAACTGGGATTGTCAGTATCATTGATGCTCTTGCTCTAATTTTTGAAAAGATATCTATCCATATTCTGCATTTTTTTTAAAAAAAAATTGATACTACCGTATTTTTCGCCCTATAGGACGCACTTTTTTCCCTCCAAAAATGCAAGTGGAACTGTGTGAACGTCTCTATGGGCGCATGCATGCTCCTGCTGAAGCCTGGAGAGCCAGAGCAGGTCGGTGCGCACTGACTCCTCCTCGCTCTCCAGGCTTCAGGAGCTCTGCGCAACCCTCGGGAGACCAGCTCCGAGGGCTGCGCAGAGCTGCCTGCAGTTCCGGGCTCAGCGCAGCTCTGCGCGGCCACCGGGAGCCGGGCGCAAGTCCCGCCCGCTCCCGATGGCCGCGCAGAGCTGCCTGCACGTCCCGGCTCAGCGCAGCTCTGCGCGGCCACCGAGAGCCGGGCGCGGGTCCCGCCCTGCTCCGGATGGCCGCGCAGAGCTGCCTGCAGTCCCCGGCTCAGCGCAGCTCTGCGCGGCCACCGGGAGCCGGGCGCGAGTCCCGCCCGCTCCGGATGGCTGCGCAGAGCTGCCTGCAGTCCCCGGCTCAGCGCAGCTCTGCGCGGCCACCGGGAGCCAGGCGCGAAGTCCTGCCCCGCTCCGGATGGCCGCGCAGAGCTGCCTGCAGTCCCGGGATCAGCGCAGCTCTGCGCGGCCATCGGGAGCAGGGCGCGAAGTCCTGCCCCGCTCCGGATGGCCGCGCAGAGCTGCCTGCGCAGAGCTGCCTGCAGTCCCAGGATCAGCGCACTTCTCCCCATCGCCAGCCCCACAAGCTCGGGGGACAGCAGGGAGGCAGAGCGCACCTTCCCGCTGTTCCCCGACCTAGTTCTTCCAGCCCCGCACCTGGGGGGGAAATAAAAAAAATTTTCTTTATTTCCCCCCCAAAAAACTAGGTGCGTCCTATGGGCCGGAGCGTCCTATGGAGCGCAAAATACGGTATACTATAGTATAGTATAATATTGTACATGTTTAAATGTTTCCTTGATTGCCCTTGGATCTTCTCAACTCTCTTGCCATCTTCTCCTGCCAAACCCTTTGAGAACCACTGCTCTAGGTGGTGTACATGATTCTCCTCCTCCTCCCCATTTTATCCTCAAAACAACCCTCCTTAAGTAGGTTAGGCTGAGAGATGGCGACTGGCCCAAGGTCGCACCCAGTGAGCTTCATGGCTGAGTGGGGATTCAAACCCTGATCTCCCAGGTCATATAATCCAACAGTCTAATAAATGTTAAACTACAATACAGATCAAAGCAGCGGCCGGATTACTGACTGGGGTTCCCTTTGGGTCCCATATAACCCCTGCTCTAAAGCAGCAGCACTGGCTTCCAATTTGTTTCCGGGCTCAGTTCAAAGGGCTCATGCTAGCGTTGATAGCCCTAAGTAACCCAGGCCTTGAATACCTGAAAGGCCGTCTCCTTCCCTACAGACCCTCTCGGGTGCTGAGATCAAACAAGGGGGCCCCCTTGGTAGTTTCCCTGACCTTGGGGGTGCCAGGGGTAGCCTGGACGAGGGCATCCTCTGTGGGAGTACAGGCGCAGCCCCACCTGGAAAAATGTTGGGGTTAAACCTGGGACCTCCTGCATGCAAAGCAGATGTTCCTCTGCTGAGCTCCAGCCCTTCCCTGCCCTCTTCTTCCAGGCCTTGTTTTGAAACTCCTTCCTTCCTCCCTCCTTTGGTTTTACAGCAGGAACAAGCAGGCCACAAGCGGGAGAGAGTGGAAAGCGATCCGGGTACTGAGACCCCCCGGGCCGAGAAGAAGAAGCCCAAAGCTTCCCCGCAGCCGGAAGAACCAGAGGCCACTCCAAAGCCCTTCACCCCCTTTGATTACAGCAAATCCGACCTCCAAGTGTTTGCCGGTGAGGCTCCTGTCTGCCCCTGTGAGCTCAAGAGGCTGGACTCAGGATCCACTAGGGCTCTCCTTATGTAATAGTCACGCGTGGGGAAGGTGCCTAACTCAGTGGTCCCAGGTTAGATCCCCAATGGACTCTCCAGCTACCGCTGGGAGAGATGGAAATGCCAGAGGGCTGCTGCCAGTCAGTGTAGACAGTACTGAGCTGGATGGACCAACGGTCTGTGTATAGCAGCTTCCTAACCTTTTTATCACCAACATTATTATTTATTTTATTGCTATTACTACTGCCGTTTAGTTTTGTTTCCGCCCTCTGCTTTGTTTCGATGCCAAGGCAAAGTAAGACGCTGCCTATTTCCTTTTTTTTTTTTTTAGGGACGCAGGTGGCGCTGTGTGTTAAAACACAGAGCCTCGGACTTGCTGATCAGAAGGTCGGCGGTTCAAATCCCCGCGATGGGGTGAGCTCCCGTTGCTCGGTCCCTGCTCCTGCCAACCTAGCAGTTCGAAAGCATCTCAAAGTGCAAGTAGATAAATAGGTACCGCTCTGGCGGGAAGGTAAACGGCATTTCCGTCCGCTGCTCTGGCTCACCAGAAGCGGCTTAGTCATGCTGGTCACGTGACCTGGAAGCTGTACGCCGGCTCCCTCGGCCAGTAAAGCGAGATGAGCACCGCAACCCCAGAGTCAGCCACGACTGGACCTAATGATCAGGGGCCCCTTTACCTTTACCTAGTTCCTTTTTTAGAAGTCTTGGCTGTTTGAATTCTTCCACTGCATGTTTGTTTTACAGCCGGTGCTTTTTATTCATGCCTAAACTTTGCTGGTCTTGACGGCTCTTGAAATGATCTATTCTCTGCAAGAGCAATCTACCTCGCTAAGATTTGCCTTCTGCCCCCATCTCCCTCCCTCCCTCTCTCCCTCCCTCCCTCTCTCTCTCTCTCAGGAAGCAGCAGGCCTAAACCCTCAACACAGTTTGATCCCTCCAAGCAAGCTGGCAAGGTAAGGTTGTTTTCTGCACACAGGAATTTTGATAAATCTCTTGAGGCAGGTGAGCCCATGAAGGCTAGTAGCAGAGGATGGCTCAGTTCTGCCTCCATGGTCAATAACGCTTTTGAATATCAGCTGCTGGAAAACACAGGAGGGGAAGAGTGCTCAGATCCTGGTTCTGGGCTTCCCTTGGGGGCATCGTGAGAACAGGATGCTCAACTAGATGGGCCAGTGGGGTAGTGGTTAGAAGCTGGACTAGGACCTGGGAGACCAGCTTTCAAATCCCCACTTGGCCATAAAACTCACTGGGTGACCTTGGTCCAAGAACTGCTGCTTTGACACCTTCTTTCCGCCTTTCTCTCTCTCAAAAATAAAAACCAAACATAGAAGTTTCCTGGAGCCGGCAAAGTCCAGCAACCAGCCGGAACGAAAAGCATGTCATACATGGCTGGGAAATCCAACAGGTATGTCCGGACAGTTGTTTGCTAGAACATTCGAGCTGCCTTGCAAATATGACTTTAAAGCTTTCTAGTCCTCAACGTTGTTTGTTCGGGGGACGGGACACTTTTTTCCAAGTACATTCTGCATCAAGAGAGCAATTAAGCTTCAGCTGATGCTTGGAACGTCCCCGGCTAAACTTTATTCCGAAATAAGAATTTATAATGTAATTCTCTTTGCAGGGGCTTCAGGCATAACTGGCCGAAAAGATAGTACGACTCCTGGAAGCTTTTCTAAGAAGAAGTCGTGGAATGCAGAGTTGGAATGGCTTTTAAACGAAAGGGGATGCTGTTTGCCACTGCCGTTTTTTGTACGGATACCTGCTGTTGCTCTTTTTAAAAAAATAAAAAAGATATATATTAATCTGCTTTTCTTTCCCCACAAATGATGGAGGAAAGGGAGCATCTTAATAGATTCGAGCGGCTGTTTGTTTCTTCTCCCCCTTTCCTTCATTCGTTTAGAAAAGCCACATCCCGCTTCATGCAGCCCCGAGAAGCTCTCAAAGCATCTTTATACAAGATCCTCACGATTTAAAATTGCACATTTGAGTCTAGTAGAGCCAGAATTCACAGCTCACCTGATCATTGTCCTGCCCCTTCCCGCCACTTAAGGAGAAATGATCCTTGTTCTATCTAGCTCACTACTGTCTGCACTGACAGGCAGCAGCTCTGCAGGATACCATTGGGGATCTCAGCTGCCTTAACTTGAGGTGACCACTGGTCCATCTAGCGCAGTATTGCCTATTATTGTTATAATATTATTATCTCACCTTTTCCCCAGCCCCAGACTCAAGGCAGTTTACACAGATAAAACAGAGCTAGCTAAAAAACATAGAAAAGACCATTGTCAAAATGTAATTAAGCACTAATAGAATTAAAATTATGTAAAGAAGGGTCCTTTGAAAACACAGACAATAACAAGAAAAGCGCCACAGCACCAGCCCTTTCCTCTGAAACAGTCAGTTCCCAAAGGCCTGTTGGAAGGAAAAGTCTTCACCTGCGGGCAGAAGGCCAGCATAGGAGGAGTCAGTCTGGCTTCTCCAGGGAGGGAGTTCCAAAGACAGGGGGCAGTCACTGAAAAGGCCCTGTTCCCATCTGGGCAAGTTTGTATGGGAGAATATGGCCTTTCAGATAGCCCAGGGCTAAGCCATACAGGTCTTTATAGGTGATAATCAACATTTTGAATTATGCCTGGAAACAAGACTTAGTAGCCAGTGGAGCTGCTGTAACAGGAAGAGTTGTCTGAGAGCCAGTGTGGTGTAGTGGTTAAGAGCGGTAGTCTCGTAATCTGGGGAACTGGGTTCGCGTCTCCGCTCCTCCACATGCAGCTGCTGGGTGACCTTGGGCCAGTCACACTTCTTTGAAGTCTCTCAGCCCCACTCACCTCACAGAGTGTTTGTTGTGGGGGAGGAAGGGAAAGGAGAATGTTAGCTGCTTTGAGACTCCTTAAAGGGAGTGAAAGGCGGGATATCAAATCCAAACTCCTCTTCTTCCTATTATTGGCCCTGGTCAGCATTAAGATAAATTCAACAGTGTAAATAAGTTTTGATGGAAGTAATAATGGAATACTGAATGGTTTGGTTTATATAGAATATGCAGGGATTTATATTATGCAAAATGAACCATGGAAAGAGAAGAAGGGAAAATTGATTTTTTTAAGGTAGTTTAATTACTCTAAATTGTAAAACAGATTTTTTTTTTATAATTATTTTTTTTGTTTACAACATAAATCCACCGCAACTCAAATAAACAAATCCACCACCATTAGACATAAACAACATAGCATAAACATAACATAAATATTTAACAAACAAAATAAAAGACTTCCTTTATCCTGTACATGGCCTCCTTGTTTACTTCTTATGAACTGTTTTCTTTATGAGTTGTTATGATTTTTCAAATTATGACAAAAAATCCAACAACCCCCCCAAGTCTCCTGCAGACATTAATCGAAACAAGTCCAGGTATGTATTTTAGGGCACTGTAAAGTATTCTTTACATTTTCCCCATTCTTTTTAAATTCTTGCCTGGGGAGGCCCCAATTGCCTCTGTTAATCTAGCCAATTTGATATACTTTAATTATCCTGCCGTTCTGCTTTTGTCAGCACAAATTCTTTTTTCCAATTTCTGGCAATTAAGGTCCTTGCCGCACCCGTGGCATAGAGGAATATTTTCTGATCGTCTCTTGTTATACCTGTGCCTGTTATCCCTAATAGGAAATCTTCTGTATTTTTCATAAAGTTATACTTTTAACATTTTTTAAAGTTCATCATACACTATGTCCCAGAAGCTTTTGGTTTTTTCACAGGTCCACCAGACATGTACGAATGTCCCCTCTGCTTTACCGCACCTCCAACACAGATTTGTTTTTGTTTTATACATTTTAGCTATTTTGGCAGGTGTTAAATACCATCTATAAACCATCTATTAAATTTCCCCTCAACATTTCACAGGATGTAAATTTCCAGTTCTTTTTCCATAGTTCTTTCCATGCTGTTGATAGGTAAAGGTAAAGGTACCCCTGCCCGTACGGGCCAGTCTTGACAGACTCTAGGGTTGTGCGCTCATCTCACTCTAGAGGCCGGGAGCCAGCGCTGTCCGCAGACACTTCCGGGTCACGTGGCCAGTGTGACGAAGCTGCTCTGGCGAACCGGCACCAGAGCAGCACACGGAAACACCGTTTACCTTCCTGCTATAAAGCGGTACCTATTTATCTACTTGCACTTAAGGGTGCTTTCGAACTGCTAGGTGGGCAGGAGCTGGGACCGAACAACGGGAGCGCACCCCGCCGCGGGGATTCGAACCGCCGACCATGCGATCAGCAAGTCCTGAGGTTTTACCCACAGCGCCACCCACGTCCCATGCTGTTGATAGTTTCCCCTATATCTAAAGCCCACTTGATCATTACCTCCTTGACCTGTTCATCTTTGACCTCCCACTCCAATAATGTATTATACATTTTAGATGTTACTTGTAAAACAGAAAATTTAATAAAAATGATAAAAAGGTAAACCCTACACAGACCCAGAGTGGAGTCCCTAAGAGGTTGACCCGATCTTACAAATAATAAATTATTATTGTTATCATTCTCTTCTGGCAACCCTCGCACACAAGCAGTCACTTTGGTGCTTTCTGTCACAGAGGTTTGTCTTAACCCCTGAAAGGCACACTCCATTGTTTCTTGAGACAGATGCCAACAAAATAGGCAATGTGCTTCCCCGTCCCCAACTTTAAGCTTTTATGTTGTTTAGTCGTTTAGTTGTGTCCGACTCTTCGTGACCCCACGGACCAGAGCACTTCTGTCTTCCACTGCCTCCCGCAGTTTGTTCAAACTCCATCGGACCCTCCATCAACTATTATACAACCCACACATCTGAGGCTCTTAATTCTTCTAGGCTATGTTATCATGAAGCAAGCCCCCACTGCAGCCCATCTCAACTGACTCTACCGGGCTGACCTTGGAACCCATTCAAGAAATGGATGGGCATAGTCAGAGCTGTGTAACCTGCACCCCCAATATCACAGCAGTGGCGGAAAGAGGGGCTTAATGGGAGTGGCTTAATATTCACCTATGTGCGTGCTTATTTCTGTAGAATCCTACATAGGACACTCTATCTTTCATATTTTGTTGTTTAGTCATTTAGTCGTGTCTGACTCCTCAGGACCCCATGGACCAGAGCACGCCAGGCGCTCATGTCTTCCACTGCCTCCCACAGCTTGGTCAGACTCATGTTCATAACTTCGAGAACACTGTCCAACCATCTCGTCCTCTGTCGTCCCCTTCTCCTTGTGCCCTCCATCTTTCCCAACATCTGGGTCTTTTCCAGGGAGTCTTCTCTTCTCATGAGGTGGCCAAAGTCTTGGAGCCTCAGCTTCACAATCTGTCCTTCCAGTGAGCACTCAGAGCTGATTTCCTTAAGAATGGAGAGGTTTGATCTTCTTGCAGTCCATGGGACTCTCAAGAGTCTCCTCCAGCACCATAATTCAAAAGCATCAATTCTTCGGCAATCAGCCTTTTTTATGGTCCAGCTTTCACTTCCATACATCACTACTGGGAAAACCACAGCTTTAACTATATGGACCTTTGTCAGCAAGGTGATGTCTCTGCTTTTTAAGATGCTGTCTAGGTTTGGCATTGCTTTTCTCTTAAGCTTTTATATTCCACTGAGAATATCAGGCTATGCATGGCGCTTAAAGAACCTTTGAAGAAGCCCCGCTGAGTTTAATGGACTTGTTCCAATGCAAAAAAAACAAACCCAACAACACCCCGTGCACTTGGACTGAAGATGCAACGTGGCCTCACTTGCCCTTGCTGAAGAGCCACGTGGAGAGAGGCTTCAGCCTTCCCCTCCTTCCAGCCAATCAGAATCGCGCATCTCCCTCCCTACCGCAGCTGCTTCGCGACGTCTCTATCTCGCTCTCACGCGCAAGGAACGCCCAGCGCCCCACGTGGCCCGCCCGCCCCGCGAGCGCACCCTACCCTGCTCGCTCGCCTCGCCTCTCCGTCGAACCCTCTCCGCCCGCAGCCAACCAGAGGCCGGCGCTGCCTCCGCCGGCCCCGCGGACGCGGCTCCTCATTGGCCGGCGCCGCGCTCGGGCTCGCCTCCCTTGAAGCCGCCGCTGCACCGGTTCGGCTGAGGCGTGCACAGGTGGCCTGCGCTTGCGGAGGCGAGGCGGAGCGGAGGGGCAGCCGCTTCGCCTTGCCCAGTTCGGCCGGCCATGGAGCTTGGCCTGGGAGGAAGAGAAGGAGGAGGAAGGAGGGCAGCAGCAGCGGGAGGGGAGGCGGAGGAGGCGGCGGCAGCCCCAGCAGCCGTCATCCAAGAGGGCTGGTTCCGCGAGACGTGCAGCCTCTGGCCCGGGCAGGCCCTCTCTCTGCAAGTCCAGGAGGTCCTGCATCACCAGCGGTCGCCCTTCCAGGAGATCCTGGTCTTCAGGAGGTAAGGGTGCGGGAGAAAGGCCAGGATGCGGGGATTGAGCACGTGAGGATGGCGTGCACGGGTGCGCTGTCCCGATCCTGTCAAAAGCACAGGGCGGGGCTGCCCTTTGGTGGCGTTCATACAGCCCACCTTTTTGTCTAAGGAGTCTTCCCATCCAAGCACCCCCAGAAAAAGATCTCATTGTTTGACTCCCTGTAACAACCCCACGAGCTCACCCCATTGAGCTTTTGTGGCCAAGTGGGGCATTTGAACCTGGGTCTCAGTGGGACACCCTCCACCTGTGTTTCTCAAACTCTGGTCTGCAGCTGTTGTTGGACTGCAACTGCCATCATCCCTCATCACTGGTCCTGCCACAGTAAGGATGACGGGAGTTGTAGATGGAGACCCAAGTTTGAGAAACGCTGCCCTAAGCGCTGCCTCTCTCTCAAGGTGACTCCTTCCTGGCTGGTGGCAGCAGGTGCTGCCTTGGAATTTGACAACTGGTCCATCTAGGTCAGCGTTACCTGCACTGACTGGCAGCGGCACTGTTGGGATTCAGAGGCAGGAGTCTTGCCCAGCCCTACTTGGAAATGCAGGGGGTTGAACTTTGGGCCCTTTGTATGCAAGGCAGGTTCTATTGGGCTCTAGCCAGCTGTTAGGGATGATGGGATCTATAGTTCAACATCTGGAGGGCTATATTTTCATCTGCCTCTGATTTTGTTTAAAAAAAGGCAGAGTTATTTTGGGGGTAGCTAGGGGCAGTGAAGGCGAGTGGCAATCTGGTTCAGGAACAGGGACCCTTTGCATCCCTATACGTTGTTCAAGTTCTCAGAAGCCCCAGACAGCAGCCCCTGTCCTTGCCTTAAAGGTAGCTTAGGGGCAGTGAAGGCAAGTGATGGTCAGATTTATGATGGAGGTAACTTGGGACAGGAAAGGCAAGTGATGGCCTAGTTCAGGAACAGGGACCCTTTGCGCCTCTATAGGTTGTTAGATTCCCAGTTCTCACCAGCCTCAGCCAGCATGGCCAGAGGTCCCTGTCCTTGCATTAACGGCAGCTTAGGGACAGTGAAGGCAACTGATGGCCTACTTCAGGGATGCAGAAATTGTGGCAATCCAGGTATTGTCCCTGGAGCTCTGCAACGTTGGTGTTCAGGGACTTAAAGGGGCATATTTTGGAGACCGTACACCTTTGCCCTGCTATTCACACCCATCATTTCCCCTGCTCTCTTCTTCCTCTAGCAAAACGTACGGGAACGTCTTGGTCCTTGATGGCGTTATCCAGTGCACAGAGAGGGATGAGTTTTCGTACCAGGAAATGATTGCTAATCTTCCCTTGTGCAGTCACCCAAACCCACAGAAGGTAAGCCTCGTCCTGTCGTCCTCCTGGGGGATCCATCTCTGGACATGATCCTATGAAGAACTTTGCTGGATTAGGTCCTCTAGGCCAGCACCTTCCCCCTTTTTTGTTACCTGCATATTTTGCCACATTTGATTCTTTGGGCTGTCTCCAACTAAGTCCTACTGGAGAGCAGACCTGCTGAAATTAATGGGCCCAATTTAGTCACGTCCATTGACTTCAGTGAGTCTGCTGTGTATAGGGCTAGCACTGGATCCAACCCTTTGTTAATTTTTGTTGGCCGGCCATTAGCTTTTAGGGTTACATGTAAATGTAAAAGGTAAAGGACCCCTGGACGGTTAAGCCCAGTCAAAGGCGACTATGGGGTTGCGGTGCTCATCTCGCTTTCAGGCTAAGGGAGCCGGCGTTTGTCTACAGACAGCTTTCCCAGTCATGTGGCCAGCAGGACTAAACCGCTTTTGGTGCAACGGAACACCGTGACGGAAACCAGAGCGCACAGAAACGCCATTTACCTTCCCGCCAGACTGGTACCTATTTACCTACTTGCACTGGCGTGCTTTCGAAATGCTAAGTTGGCAGGAGCTGGGACAGAGCAACAGGAGCTCACCCCATTACGGGGATTTGAACCGCCGACCTCCTGATCGGCAAGCCCAAGAGGCTCAGTGGTTTAGACCACAGTGCCTCCCGTGTCCTATGGTTACATATATTCATAGTTCAACTGTAAGTTGCTTTGGGTCATTCTTTGAGAGTGGGTGGTAGGTAATCTAACTTAAGAACTAAAGAAGTAGAATATTGTAAAGTACAGAAAGAGGTGAGGGCAGGTTTCATTGCTTAGATTAATGACCATATAACTTGACAGAAGGGAAGGTTGCAGTTGGTCAGGGGTGGGGATCCTAGATTCATAGAATTGTAGAGTTGGAAGGGACCCTGAAGATCATCTGCTCCAACCCCCTGCAATGCAGGAATCTCAACTAAAGAATCTCTGACCACACACCCTCTCTGCTTTGCACCCTCCTTCCATGTTTTTGCCTAGCTGGAATATGTCCTTGTCCTTGGACCGTGACTATGCTTGCTTGTTTGAATGGAGGGCAGAGAGGGGTGTGTGAGTGGAGTGGGGAAACTAGCATACTGTCCAAAGGTAAAATTCGCATTCGTTGCTCCACCCACTTTTGCTTCTGGCCCCGCCCACCACTGGCACGTGGCCCCCGAAAGGGAACACGGCCCTCGTCTAGGGGGGTGAATGGGTGGGCGTTCTCAGAGCAAAGTAACAGTGCCGTCTCCACTACACAGGTGCTCATCATCGGGGGCGGCGATGGAGGAGTCTTGCGGGAAGTGGTCAAGCACCCCTCCGTGGAGTCCGTAATACAGTGCGAAATTGACGAGGTAACAAAGTTAGTTCTGCTTATGGATCGTTGCCTGTCAAATGGGATTCCCTCAAACTGTGATCCTCAGCCTGCAGTCCACGACATGAAATTTAAAATTGCACGGCATCTCCCACGACACATTTATGATTGCTACAACAAGGGGGTCTGTTTGGTTGACCAGTAAATTGGTGGCCAGTGGTCCGCCAAGACCCCTGGCAGTTTCCAAGAGGTCCTCCGGCAGCGGGGTGGGGTGATGGGAAACCAGTAACAGAAAATTTAGAAGGATTTGACCTCAAGAGCTCACAATGGGTGAGAGCCAAGGTTAGGTTTGATAGAATTGTAGCATTGGAAGGGACCCTGACGGTCATCTAGTCCAACCCTCTGCAATGCAGGAATCACTGCTAGAGCATCCATGACAGATGGCCACCCAACCTCTGCTTGAAAACCTCCAAGGAAGGGGGAGAGTCCACCACCTTCCCATGGAGCCAGTAGACCCGTTGAAATAAATAAATGAAGATGACTAACTTTGGTTCATAAATTTCAATTGGCCTAGGGCTTCGCTGGCTGCAAGCCAAAGTTTCTGTGTTAGTAGCCTAATTTCTTTCCTCTTGCCCAAGCTCTGAGGGCGTTGGCTGTCGTTGCCTGGTACATTTCGGAGCTCTTTGACAGGATAAAAGCAATTATCAACCTATCCTTTCCCCGGGGCTATGATTTCTTAACCGCCTTCCTTATTAAAGACCTACTTCCTTGTCCTCTAGTTGTGAAAAATTATAGACTTGTAGGACTGAAGGAAACTATGCAGCTTATCTTGTCAAACGACCTGCAGGGCAGGAATCTTTTTGCCCAGCGTGGGGCTCAAGCCCTCAACCCTGAGATTTAAGAGTCTCATTCATGCTCTACCGGCTGAACTCAAGGGGGGCGGGTACCACCTCCTCCTCCACCCAACCTTGGAAGGTTTTTTGGGTTTTTTTGCAAGATGAGGCAGAGAGAGAAAAATGCATTTTGCATCATGCCAGGGCAAAGTCGGCAGGAATCCAAATTGGGGGTGGGGGTGGCAGGTTTGCACAGGTAGCAGCTGCAACAAAATGCTGCAGTACAAATCAGAAATTAAGGTCACAATGGATATGGTTTGAAGAATATATGAGCAAACACTTCTCCGAAGATAGCATGCTGATATGTTTAGACTAAGTTGTAAAGTTGACCTAGAAAAAAATAACAGTTTAATAAGAGAAGGAAGGTAGAGATACATGAATTGCAATGCAAATAAGAACTTTAAAGTAATAAAGATGACGAGCACTGGCGGAGGGAAGTCACATGGGTGTTTACCTATTTTATGTATTTTTCTTTTTCCTTTACCTTTTCTTTTTTTGTCTGTAAGTGTATGTACATTATTGTTATGTATGTATGTATGTATGTATGTACAGTGGTACCTCGGGTTACATACGCTTCAGGTTACAGACTCTGCTAACCCAGAAATAGTACCTCGGGTTAAGAACTTTGCTTCAGGATGAGAACAGACATCGCGCGGTGGCGGCAGCAGGAGGCCCCATTAGCTAAAGTGGTACCTCAGGTTAAGAACAGTTTCAGGTTAAGAACAGACCTGAAGAACGAATTAAGTTCTTAACCCGAGGTACCACTGTATGTATGTCTAAATCAGTGTTCCCCAACCTTGGGCCTCCAGCTGTTTTTGGACTACAATTCCCATCATCCTTGACCACTGGTCTTGCTAGCGAGGGATGATGGGAGTTGTAGTCCAAAAACAGCTGGAGGCCCAAGGTTGGGGAACACTGGTCTAAATAATAATAATAAAAATGCTGCAGTACTGCTTTTCAGTCCCTAACAGGAGCGTTTGTGTTCAGAGTTCCTCCAAAAATGCAAAGCAGGCCAGCGGAGCCTTTCCTCCCCATCCCAGGTCTGGTTACTTCTACAGCCGACATTCCTTGGAGATGCAAGGCACCTTGCCTCAATGGGAGGAGATAAGCTGAACCACTTTCATTTGGGATTTCTTTAAATCCCCAAACTTCTCTACGTGCTTCTGAATTCTCCCCAGCAGCCCCAAAACCTTCCTCTCTGTTCCCCATGGTCCTGATTTGGCTCTCCGATCCGAATAGGGGTCTCCTAAAAACTCTCTGCACCTTTCACAAACTACAGTTCCCAGGATGCTTTGGGAGAAGCCATGACTATTTAAAGTGGTATGATGCGGCCTAGAATGTATCGTGTGGACAGGACCCAAGTGTGGTTTCCAGTGATTGATTTATTCCAGTGGTTTTAGTGATTTATTACTGTTATTTATTTAAAGCAATTTCCCTGCCTAAAATCCTGTTCTTCATCCAACCCAAGCTCATGGAATCTCAGCTTGGAGTCTTAGCACAAAAGGAAAAGGGGATAGGGAAGGGGGTGGAAGAAAGCAAACTCGGGCGCGTTTATTAATTTATGATACTTGCTTTTGTTCATTTTTCTTACTGTACACCTATGACTTGATGGGAGGTTTGCCATCTACCGTATTTTTCGCTCTATAAGACGCACTTTGCCTCTCCTAAAAAGTAAGGGGAAATGTGTGTGAGTCTTATGGAGCGAATGCAGGCTGCGCAGCTTTCGCTGAAGCCAGGAGAGCAAGAGGGATCGATCCCTCTTGCTCTCCTGGCTTCAGGGATAGCTGCCCGAAGCTTCCTAAGCGCAGCAGAGTGCTCCTCCCACTGAAGAGGCACAGTGCAGAGAGAGGGAAAGCTGCGCAGCGCCCCTTCAGCGAAGCGGGAGGAAAAACTTTGCTGCGGAGAGGCGCTGAGCAGAGAGGGAGAGAACATTTTTTGTCTTGTTCTCCTTTAAAACTAGGTGCGTCTTATGGTCTTACAGATCAAAAAATACGGTAAATGTGTGGTTTATCAATTGGGCGAGTAAATAGAAAAAACTTTTTCTTTTTCTTTTTCTTTTTTTTTTGGGGGGGGGGCAGGATGTGATCCAGGCATCTAAGAAGTACCTCCCAGGGATGGCCGTGGGATATTCCAGCCCGAAACTCACCTTGCATGTTGGGGACGGCTTTGAATTCATGAAGCAGAACCAGGAGGCTTTTGATGTGATAATCACAGACTCTTCCGACCCCATGGGTGAGTGCAGATTGGCGGAGGGGATCTTGACCAGCGACTGTGATTGGATCGTGAATCTTGTGTACCTGCTGGGGCTCTTGGGGTTGACCTGGAGGCTGCAGCTTGTACAGATCGCACACCTAGGTGGCTTGTGGGGGCAAACAACTTCTGGGATTAGCACCATCAGCCAGTCCACTTCCAGGTCAGTTTCAAGGTGTTGGAAGTCCTTATACAGCTCAGGAGCAGGTGACATGAGAGACCGCCTTATGCACCCAGCAAATCACTGCAGTCTGCGGGAAAGCTTTCTCTGCCAGTTCCAAAAATCCCTGAATCCTTCGTGGGAACTCCTAGTCAACACGATGACCATATACATACGTAATAGACAATCTTTATAGAATTTCTACAAACCATAACAAGTTCAAAATGAAATATTTAGTTTCAAAGTCTCTGAAAGATTGTCTATTACGTATGTATATATGGTCATCGTGTTGCCTAGACATTGTTGACGTTCTCTTTGCAACACGGGTTTGTTTGGATACTTGTGGGAACTGCCCCTGTCGCTGCCCCTGTTATCTTTCATGTGGTTTTTGTTTTTTTGGCAATATTAAGCAATACAGTGGTACCTCAGGTTACATACACTTCAGGTTACATACGCTTCAGGTTACAGACTCCGCTAACCCAGAAATAATACCTCGGGTTAAGAACTTTGCTTCAGGATGAGAACAGAAATTGTGCTCCGGCGGCGTGGCAGCAGCAGGAGGCCCCATTAGTTGAAGTGCTGCTTCAGGTTAAGAACAGTTTCAGGTTAAGAACGGACCTCCAGAACGAATTAAGTACGTAACCAGAGGTACCACTGTATGTAAATGCTTTTGGCTCAAAAGAAAAAGAGAAGAGGAGAAGCAAATTCAGACACTCTGATTAAAGGTAAAGGCAAAGGGACCCCTGACCGTTAGGTCCAGTCGCGGACGACTCTGGGGCACTCATCTCGCTTTACTGGCCAAGGGAGCCGAAGTTTGTCTGCAGACAGTTTTTCTGGGTCATGTGGCCAGCATGACTAAGCCGCTTCTGGTGAACCAGAGCAGCGCACGGAAATGCCGTTTACATTCCCGCCGGAGCGGTACCTATTGATCTACCTGCACATTGACGTGCTTTCGAACTGCTAGGTGGCATTAGCGTCGGATAAATGCTCTTTTTCTTTGTTAGGTGGGAGGTTTGCCCTCAAAGCTGTGGCTTGCAGATTGGGTGAATAAATGGATGGGTGCAGTTTTGCAGGGTGTGATCCGAGCGATCCCAGAAACACCTCCCAGGTATTTTCATACTGAACCCTCCCTGGTGCTGTTCCTTCCCCTCCAGGTCCTGCAGAAAGCCTCTTCAAAGAATCCTACTACCAGCTGATGAAGACAGCTCTGCGGGAAGACGGCATTCTCTGCTGCCAAGGTGAGGGACAGCCGAAATAGCCTGTGTGCTGATGACCAGTTGGAGGCACTGAGCGCATTTCTGAAGTGTTGGGTTTCCCCCCACGCCTCCTTTTTTTCTTAAAAAAAAAGCAGGGATGGAAAGTCTGGTGCCCCCTAGATCAGGGGTCCCCCTACTCAGGTCCATGAGCTTCATTCAGGTGGTCCGCAGCACGCCCACAGTAAATACTCGTATTGGGTTTTAATTGTGTTTGTATTTCTTCCTGTATTTTTTTCATTCTATTGCAGTTCAAACTAACGCAGCCATTTTAATAAGTAATGGGGGGAATTTATAATTTATCTTAAAAACCATTGTATACAGTTAAAATCATTAGTAGGGTTGGAATAACATTTGTAGTTTAATGGTGAATTTTGGACACAACGGAGAGGTAAAAGATTTGAATTGCTGTAAAAGATGCAGGAGGAAATGATTAACAGCAGGACCCACAAAGGGGAGATTCTTTGGAATCTTGTTTCTATGTTGTATGTTGGATATGGGACTGTAAATCTGAAAACCAACCAAATACATACATACATACATACGGAACAAAAATGCAATATGTAAGAAATGAAGCAAGGTATAAAAGTACAAATTGAAATACCTTGCTGCATTTAACACAGCGTATCAGGGTTGCTGCAACAGCCCAAAAAATAATGTAGGGCCTTCTCAGTGGTGGCACACGTGCAGTGGAATGCCTTTTCAGGTTTCTGGGTGGTCCAGCTCAGATCTAGTTCTTTGGAAGCCTGCCCCCTAGTGCCTGGGAGGTGGAAGGGCCGCAGATTCTTGGCTAACCAAATACCAGCTCTTCTTTCCCCCAGCTACCCAGGAAGGCTTTGATAACGCCCCTCTCCACATTTGTCTCTCTGCCAGGCGAATGCCAGTGGCTGCACCTGGACCTCATTAAGGAGATGCGCCAGTTCTGCAAGTCGCTGTTCCCCGTGGTCGAGTACGCCTACTGCACCATCCCGACCTACCCCAGCGGACAGATCGGCTTCATGCTCTGCAGCAAGAATTCAGTAAGGGATATTGTCTGCCGCCTCTTTCCGTCGATCGGGGCTTGGGGAGCAGAGGCTTGCATGCCGAAGCAAGCCCTATGCAGAGCATTGAAACTTAAGGGCGTGAATCAGCCCGGTCCATTAACATCACTGGGCCCGCTCTAAGTACAGTGGTACCTTGGTTCTCAAACTTAATCCATTCCGGAAGTCCGTTCCAAAACCAAAGCATTCCAAAACCAAGGTGTGCTTTCCCATAGAAAGTAATGCAAAACAGATTACTGTATTTTTCGCCCTATAGGACGCACTTTTTCCCCTCCAAAAATGAAGGGGAAATGTGTGTGCGTCCTATGGGGTGAATGCAGGCTTTCGCTGAAGCCTGGAGAGCGAGAGGGGTCGGTGCGCACCAACCCCTCTCGCTCTCCAGGCTTCAGGAAGCTATCCGCAAGCCTGGAGAGCCAGCGGGAGTTCCCCCCAGGCTTGCGGATAACAGCCTGTTCTGGGGGCTGGGGTCGGGGGAAGCTCGGGCTTCCCCCGCCCCAGCCCTGCGCCTGGGGGAGAAATAATTTTTTCCTCCTTTATTTCCCCCCCCCCAAAAAAAACTAGGTGCACCCTATGGGCCTGTGCGCCCTATAGGGCGAAAAATACGGTAATCTGTTCCAGACTTTTAAAAGCAACCCCTAAAACAGCAATTTAACATGACTTTTACTATCTGACGAGACCATCGATCCATAAAATGAAAGCAATAAACAATGTACTGCAGACACAATCAATTAATAGCTGAACTGGGTTCCACACAGTCACAAAAACGAAACAAAAAGAGCCGCAAAAACAAAAACACAAAATGAATAGCAAAAACAGGCAGACCACAGCATAACACTCAAAACGGAAGTGTGGCACTTAAATTGGAAGCGTAACACTCAAAACGGAGCACGTTCGGCTTCCGAAAAATGTTCGCAAACTGGAACACTTACTTCCGGGTTTGCAGCTATTGGTTCCAAGTTGTTTGAGTACCAAGGCGTTTGAGAACCAAGGTACCACTGTAAATTTGGGTTGTGTGCAGCCCCCAAGGGACTTCTGTCTGGCTGTTGTGACTCTCTCCATTCCACACCTCTTTCTTGTGCCACTGCCTCTCGGCCTCTCCTACCTCACAGGGTTGTTGTGAAGGGGGCGGAGGAGATGCATGTACGCCGCCTTGAGCTCCTTGGGCTATATAAACGCAATAAATAAGGATAAAACGGGGAGATGGAGAACCTTGAACTCCTTTGGCAAGAAAGAGTAGGGTGGGTGCAATACAGGCAACACGCCATTGATGCGGGGATTACGATACTTATTCATCAGTAAGACCCCCCCCATTTCTGCCCCCTTGTGGACGCAGACAGGGATGTTCCTGCAAATAAATCCAATTTTTATTCTTCCTGCAGAACACTAATTTCAGGGACCCTGTCCAACAGTTGTCCCAGAAGGAAGTGGAAGCAATGAATCTTAAGTATTACAACTCGGATGTCCACAGGGCAGCCTTTGTCCTGCCTGAATTTGCACGAAAGGTAAACCACCGGGGCTGAAATGCTGTCCTTGCAGAGTGAAGCTTTCTTTTCCTAAGCTGGGATGGGGGGAAAGCAACAGGTATTCGGAAGGATTGCTGTCTCCATTTCTTCAAGAAAAGCCACAATCACACCATACATTTAAATATGTTGTTTAGTCATGTCCGACTCTTCGTGACCCCATGGACCAGAGCACGCCAGGCACTTCTGTCTTCCACTGCCTCCCGCAGTTTGGTCAAACTCATGTTCGTAGCTTCGAGAACACTGTCCAACCACCTCGTCTTCTGTCATCCCCTTCTCCTTCTGACATTTAAATTATTACCGTTAATAATGATACTAATTGTCATTCACCCAAGGTCTCAGGGCGGATTCCAACATTAAAACACAATATTAGAAACAGTTTTAAGACTACTTGCCATCACAGAAAGAAGGCAAGACCTAAAAATTACTGCACTGTGATACCACTTTTAAGTAGTCACATTTTCCCACCCCCACCCCAAAGCATTCTGGGATCTGTAGTTCGTTAAGGATTCTGAGAGTTGTTAGGAGACCGCTATTCCCCTCCCAGGAACACAGGTGGCGCTGTGGGTTAAACCACAGAGCCTAGGACTTGCCGATCAGAAGGTCGGCGGTTCGAATCCCCGTGACAGGGTGAGCTCCTGTTGCTCGGTCCCTGCTCCTGCCAATCTAGTAGTTTGAAAGCACAAAAGTGTAAGTAGATAAATAGGTACCACTCCGGTGGGAAGGTAAGCGGCGTTTCCGTGCGCTGCTCTGGTTCTCCAGAAGTGGCTTAGTCATGCTGGCCACATGACCCTGAAGCTGTATGAAGGCTCCCTTGGCCAATAAAGCGAGATGAGTGCCACGACCCCAGAGTCGGCCACAACTGGACCTAATGGTCAGGGGTCCCTTTACCTTTACCTTTATTCCCCTCTCAGAGCTACAATTCCCAGAGTTTCCTTTGAAGAAGGATTGGTTGTGAAACTCTGGGAACCGTAATTCCTGGAGGGGAAGAGGGGGTCTCCTAACAACTCCCAGGGCCCTTAACAAACTACAGTTCCAGGAATTATTTGGGGGGAGCCATGGCTGCTTAAAGTGGCATCACAGTGTTGTGGATGCGGCCATGGAAAGCCCCGAATGAGGGTCGCCCCATCCTGTTGATTATCCTCATTTTCCTTTTCCTCCCCACCAGGCTCTGAGCGCCGTGTGAGAACCCCGATGCAGATCCACCTCTGGCCTCGGATACCCCGGCGGGACGGAAAACCCCGGAAGCCTCATCCACCTAGCGGATCGTCTCTGGCGGGCGGCCTGACGTGGTCCTCGCTTGCCTTGCGGCCTCCAGCCTGCCAACTAAACATTCCTTCCAATTATGTATTTAAAAAAATGAAAGGACTCTGGGTTTGCACCCAACCGCAGGACCCCACTTCCAAACAACCCCCGTCCCCATCCACCTAGTTCAGGCTAAGCTGTTGGCCTATTGCTTGAACTCGTGTCTCCAACATGTGGAGCATTAATGTAGAGCCTTCAGGCGCTTGCCTGCTTCCTTTTTAACACCCCCACCCTGAAAATGCTGTATTTATAACTGACAATGTATCTCCCTTTAAAGTGGTTGCCATCTAGTTTGGAAGGACCAGGCACAATGGTTTGACGCTCTGCCTTTCAAGGGGGCATGGGGATTGGCATTGGGTGGGGTGGGAGCTGGCATAGTTGGATATGTTTTCTCTGCTCCCCCCCCCCCTTTTCCCTTGCCTCGCTCCCCCTTGCCCCCCACCTCCATGGAATGCCCACACCTCTTTCCTCCTTGCCTGGTCAGGTGGTTTTGGTCACCTGCCCCGACTCCTGAGCCCATCAATGGGGTCTCTTCGCGGCGTTTTAATTGGCTGAGCGCAAAAAGACCAAAGTTGTCTGTAGAGAACCGTTAACCTCTTTCTATAGTAAACGGACTCAAATAAAACTTAAGTATTGTTTTCTTAAGGGGTGGGTGGGTGAGCGTTTGAGATAAGCCCCCCCTCTCTTTTCCATATGATCAGGGTGCCTTGCTTATTATGATCTTTCTGGGCCCTAACATCAGCTGGCGTCTCGAGCGAAACATTTCCAACGGCTCATCATCACCTCGGCACCCAAATTGCGGCTCTAAATCATGTTTCTTCTTTGGGGGTGGACCTAGAAATTAAGTGGGCCTCTTCCCCTCTCCCCAGTTACTAAAAGACCTAGTCCCATCAGCATTCAAGGCCTCAGCAGTAGCACCTGCCTTTGTGGGAAGAGTTAAAGGGATTTCTTAAGAGTCACAGAATTGTTGGTCCTTGAGTTCTTTCGGTACGACAACTTCCATCATCGCTGGCAGTGCCTGCTGAGGCTGATGGGAGTTCAGCTGCAGCTGGGTTGGGGGCATTCAGCTTACCCACACGTGTCTTAAGAACTGCTGGGTTGGGGTCCGAGGATCTTTTTATCTTGTTTTAGAGCAGGTTTTCCCAAACATGGGTCTCCAGCAGTTTGGGGACCTCAGTTCCCATCACCCCATCACCACTGGTCCTGCTAGGTAGGGGTGGTGGGAGTTGCAGTCCCAAAACAGCTGGAGGAAGTTGAGGTAACCCTGTTTTAGAGCTCTGCTCATGCATCTGGTTCCCTCCCTCTTAGCAATATGTATTAGTGTCAGGTATCTATGGCCTTCCAGTTGTTGTGAGGTGCTCAACAGCCAACATGACTGTCACCTCTGCAAGAACTCTAGACCAGTTGCCCATCTCGGACCATTTATATGTGCTTGCAAAATGTCTGTTTTCAAAGGTGGTCTTGGGCTTGGAGGGGGGAATCTGTTAATATCAGCCTGTGCTTGAAAATCACCTGAAATCTGCCCTCTGATACAAGAAAGGTTTGCCCAAAGTGTTGAGTTGGCTTTGTTCTCCCCTTTTTAAAAAAATGTTGTGAAGGTGGAACAGTGCATGTATAGAACGGGGCAGAGAGAGACATTATTTCCCCTTTAGGGCATTTGCTCTGTCTAAAGCAGAGGAGAGGGAGGCTTTCCACATGCTGTTGAACTCCCATCCCTGTCAGTTGCAGCCAGCGAGGGCCAGCAATCAGTTGGGTGATGGCATTTGTGGCAGCAACATCTCAAGGAGCGCAGGTTCCTCCTCCCTGCCTTGTATACCTCCACCCCCATCGTTCACTGAGGTCCAGGGCCTTCTGGCGGTTCCCTCCCTGCAAGAAGTGAGGTTACAGGGAACCAGGCAGAGGACCTTCTCAGTAGTGATGCCTGCCCTGTGGAATGCCCCCCCCATCAGATGTCAAGGCAATAAGCAACTATCACTTTTAAAAGACACCTGAAGGCAGCCCTCTTTAGGGAAGTTTTAAATGTTTAATGCTGTATTGTGTTTTAATATTCTGTTGGGAGCCGCCCAGAGTCGCTGAGGAAACCCAGCCAGATGGGCGGGGTATAAATACTAAATAAATATTATTATTGCAAGTTGCCGTGAATGGAGGACTTGTGGCCTTCCTTTTATTGCTGGACTCTAGCTCCCATCATTCCCAGCAACCTGGGCCCAGTGGTCATGGATGATGGGAGTTGTAGTCCAGCAACATCTGAGAGGCTCACAGGGCCAGCAGCAGGAGAAGCTTCCCCTCCTCCCAAAAACCCCAGCCTTTTTTCTATTCTGTTTACACTAGAACTTGGTAGTACATGTAGAGCTAACTTAATAAGAATCTCATTACTTGCATGGCTCTTGTTTTGTTTTTAAATCTAGGGATTTAGGCAGCCTCTAAATAACCAAGTCAAACTATTGGACTACCTAAGCCAGTATTGTCCACACTGATCGGCCGTGGCTCTCCAAGGGTTCAGAGAGAGAGGGCAGTTTTCCAAACCTACCTGGGATTGAACCTGGGACCTTCTGCGTGCAAAACTGGTGCTTTTCCACTAAGCTACTGCCCCCTTGGAGCCATAAGAGATGCTTCTCCTAAGGTTTTAGCTGCATCTTCAGTTTTATTATGTTCACTGGTTAGAGAGCTCTAACCTGCTTCCACTGTCTGGCAGCAGTCCAAGGAGGGAGTCTCTCTCCCAGCCCTTCCTGGACTTGAACCTGGGACCTTCTGCTTGCAAGGCGGGTGATCTGTTACTGAGCCACAGCCCTTCTCTAGTTTCTACCTGGCAGTTCTTGCCAGGAGGGAGAGAGAGAGAGAGAGGCAGGTGGGATGATATGCCATGAAATTTCAGTGTCAGCTCATCATGTTTCCGGTGGCGTGGGAGAGCTTGGGTACATGGGCACCAGTAGGGCAATAGCAAATTCAGAGGGGCAGGCTTCCTTTATGACACAGCCACACCCACTTCTAAGATTATACAACTAAGATTATACAACCATTTTATGCAATAATAAGAATTCGGGATGCATTGCAACTATCAATGCAGATCTCCCATGTGTTGCCTTTCAGCTAGATCTGCTGGGAACGTTTTCTGGGAACGTAGCTGGGCAAGTGATTTGGAGGGCTCCAATATCTGCTTTCGGAGTGGCTTAAGCTGTGTTTTCCTATTGTCTGTGGCAGAATGTGCTACTGAAGCACCTTGAGTTTTCTTTTTTTTTATAATATTTTTTATTAATTTTCACCAAAAGAAGAATAGATAAACATTTCCACTTTACAAATTTTCTCATTTTTGGACTTCCATCAGCCATTCTGACAATCATCCGAATTAAACTTTTTAGTTACACATTTCCTACATTTCCTATTGCCTTTTAACAAACCTATCCACACCTGTTTTCCTTTTTTACAATATTTCTTTACGTTTTTACAGAGCTTCTTTAAATGCCGCAAACGTTATTTCATTATCACTTAAACCTCCCCAATACTCGACTAGTTTCCCCCAGTCCTCGATAAACTTTTGATCTCATTGGTATCTGATCTTCCCTGTCATTTTATCAAGTTCTGCATAGTCCATCAGCTTCATTCTCCACTCCTCCAGAGTAGGTACTTGTTCCTGTTTCCATCTCTGGGCCAATAATATTCTTGCCGCTGTTATTGCATACTGGAAAAGTTTACAGTCCTTTCTGTTTATTTCATTTCCTATAATTCCTAAAAGGAAAGCCTCTGTTTTTTTAGGAAATGTATATTTCAACATTTTTTTTTCAATTCTTTATATATAAATTCCCAGAAGCTCTTCACTTTCTTACATTCCCACCACATATGGTAAAAAGTACCATCCTTTTCTTTACATTTCCAACATTTCTTACATGTTTTATACATTTTTGCAAGTTTTACTGGTGGTGTATACCATCTATAAATCATTTTCATAACATTTTCCGCACCTTGAGTTTTCAAGGTTACCAAAGACTTAGCTTTAGAGCAGTGTTCCCCAAACGTAGGTCTCCAGCTGCTTTTGGACTGCAATACCATCACCCCTGACCACTGATCTTGCTAGCTAGGGATGATGGGAGTTGTAGTCCAAAAGCAGCTGGAGACTCAAGTTTGGGAAACAATTGCTTTAGAGCAGTACACAAACAGCTCCATGTTCTTCCCACACACCACCTCCAAAGTGACCCTAGGAGCCGATCACCAGTGACCGACTCGCCTCCTTTCTCTCGGATTGGCTCCAATCAGCACAAAGGGCGAGAGGACTTATCAGCTGCTAAATACGGTAGTTCCCATTTTGTGCTGACTGGGCAGCCCTAAGACCCTAGAGACAGGGATCCTGCTACAAAATTAAAAATGGGTCTTTGGCCCCCTGCAACCCCAGATTTCCCCCCTCAACACTGGTGGGTACTACTCTGTTTTAGGGACACAGGTGGCGCTGTGGTCTAAACCACCGAGCCTTGGGCTTGCTGATCAGAAGGTTGGCAGTTCCAATCCACATGACGGGGTGAGCTCTTGTTGCTCTGTCCCAGCTCCTGCCAACCTAGCAGTTTGAAAGCACACCAGTGCAAGTAGATAAATAGGTACTGCTGTGGCGGGAAGGTAAACAGTGTTTCCATGCACTCTGGCTTCCGTCACAGTGTCCTGTTGTGCCAGAAGCAGTTTAATCATGCTGGCCACATGACCCAGAAAGCTAACGCCGTAACTCCCTCGGCCTGAAAGCTGCAACTCCATGGTCGCCTTTGACTGGACAACTGTCCAGGGGCCTTTTACCTTTACCTTTTAATCTGTACATGCTGTGAGCCTCTGGAACAGAAGCTGCAGAGGCTGTTCTCAGGGCTGTACGAAGCTGCAGTCTTCTGTGCCAAACCATTGCCCCACCAGGTTCAATATTGTCTACACAGATGAGCTGTGATTCTGCATGGTTTCAGACAGGAGACATCGCCAGCCCCTACCTGGAGATGCCAGGAATCGAACGTGGGACCTTCTACATGCAAAGCAATTGCTTGGCCACTGAGCTACAGGTATAGAGGTGTTTTAAGCAGGTGCTGAAAAGAACACAGCAAGGGCACCCCCCTGCTATCAACAGGCGGGGAGTTCCGAAGTGTAGGTGCTGCCACGCTTTGTAAAACGGTATCTTGCAAGTGTGGAATAAGTAAGATGTGGCGCCTGTAAGAGTGCCGGTTCTGATAATTGAAGCAGTCAAAGTGGGTGCTTATGGGGGAAGGCAATCCCACAAGTAAACTAGTCCCAAGCAATTTAGGGCTTTATAGTAACACGTTGGTCTGGTAGCAAATTGGCAGACAGTGCAGAGCTTCTGAGGAGAGGAGCCAAAAGAATCTCACTCCTACCAGCAATTGTGCATTCTGAGCACAAGCTGTAGGTTTTGGATAAAGTGCAAGGGAAGCTCCACACATTGTACATTCTTCCAATTTTTTAGGGTTTCTGTTCCTGAAAACGAGACCATGTATGACATGCTCCAGGCCCGAGTCGTTGACAAAGGCCTTGCTAAAATGCATCAAGGAACAAGCCCTGCCATGGTCCAAGGAGGCTTTGCAAGTGTGGAGGTGCGTGGCTCGAATTGCGTGGGGAAAAGCTAATGGATGCAACACAACGGGCTCCAAATCCCTCTCCACTGGCTGATGGCAGAATTGTTTTGCATTTGTGCTGCTTTTCTAATTAGAAAAAGGACATTACGACCCATAAAGTTAGGCTTAGCACAGAACCACTGCTCTCCTGTCCCTATTAAGAGGAGGAAATGTAAAAAGAGGCTATTAAAAAGATGGAGGCTGCCAATAATCATATTTCCAAAAAGGAGTGTAGGAAGCTGCCTTGCCATGAGTCAGAGCATTGAATGTTGGGCCCATCTAGCTCTGTACTATTAACATGTGACTGGCAGCGATTCTCCAAGGTTATGCAGAGCAGGTAATCCTGGTCTCTTGAGGGCCCTGGGACCCATGCAACAACCTCTTCTTTGGTGATCACTCATAGTTGAGTAAGATTGTCTTCCATAAACTAAGGTTACCAGACGTCCCCGTTTCCCTGGATTTACAAATCAGTCCCCTGACAAAATCCATCTATTTAGTAGGAAGTTGGAAATTGTCCCTGAATTCACTGACAAAAAATCTGGTAACCTTACCATAAACACGGTCTTAACAGTGAGCCCGTAAGTTACTGTGGAGGCCAATTCTGGATCCACACGTCCTTCCATAGTGGGGACATAGGTTTCCGGGTGGGAGTTGATCATGGTGAGGGTTTGCCATTGGAAGCATCAAGGCAAAAGCTGCAACCTTTCCTTGTAGGGAAGTTGCCCAACTCCCCCAAACCAACTCAAAGATTCTCCTGCACTTTCCTGTTGTGCAGATCCAGAATTAAACCCAGTATCAATTGTGCATGTATTAATCAGACAGAGATTGCTTCAAGCTCCATAAAGACTAGTGCTATACATTGAAATTCAGTTGTATCCAGTATTACTTCTGTTCAGAGGAGACCTGTTGAAATTAACAGATGTGTGTGCATCATGACCAAAGCACTTGCTTGGCTTCTAAATCAGTGGTGAGGAGGTGCTGTTGCAAAGTCAATGAACACAACCTGAAAAATGGACTAGAACCATTTTTCCTTTTTACATTTATGGATTATTGAGTACAAGTGCCACGGGCAAGTAATAGCACCATCACGAAAAGTTAGAGGCATCCAGTAGTCGTAACCTGCTGGGAACAAAACAAACCCTGAAATACTCAGCAAAGCCTCTTCTTGTCGCACACACCCCTCTCATAGATCACTTGGCATAAATGGTTTGAGAAAGGGACCCCCCTATACCATGCTTAGGACTGTGCAGTAGGTAGATAAAACTGGGCTGTCTTTTCAATAGAAAATCAAGGTTTATCTCAGAGCTTGAAGGCAAGCTTGTGGCCTTGTTCCTGATTGTTTGAAGTGGGTCTGAGACAGTGCCGGATTTACACATAAGCTAAACAAGCTATAGCTTAGGGCCCCACTCTCTTTGGGGGCCTTCAAAAAATTTAAAGAAAAAAAAACACCCTGGATATCCATTTCCAAAATCTAAGATAAAAAACAAAATAAAACCTACACACAGCAACAGTGTTTTGTGTAGGCTCCTCTTTGTTATGTGCAAATGGCTTTAGATACCTATTAGGTCCATAAATTACCATATAGCATATATTCAACAACAAAAACAGTGACAATTTGTTGTTGACAAAGGACAGCTGGACATATAAAGGGCCCCATTACCTTCATAGCTTAGGGCCTCATCAAACCTAAATCTGGCCCTGGTCTGAGACCCTCAAAATAAAATCTGAACAAAATTGGTGAAGCAGCAAAGAGATTATTGATTACAAAATGTTATTGCAAGAGCGGGTGTCCGAAGTAGGCACACCCAAAATTGACAAAGCATAAACATATATTCCCTATTACTCGAAGTGCAGGTTCCCTCCCTTGTCTCCCCATCGGCTGGGGTACCACAAGGTTTACAGCCCATCATGACTGCCTAATTAGCCTGCCCTTATTTGGTCTATATCCCTATGCAATTATTTGCTAAGCCAAGCAAAAATACCTGGAGATAAGTGTGAATTGAACTCTCTGCTTTGCTGTTGCTTGTCTACTTATCACACCCACATCCTGACCACCAGCAGGTGTCAGAAAGTTCTATATTTGCTGATGCCTGTTAATCTACTGTCTAAAGTTATCTAGCCCTATGGCCTTGTAGCCCATGTGAAGAAAAGCAACGTTCTATCTGAGGTTGTTTTTAGCAGCTGCAGCCTTGAATGGAAAAGCAACATGAATAAAAATGAAAAAGCAAAATGTTTCATCATTTCTCATACTGATGAAACAAACCAGCTGAATGGCTGGGCACAAACCCAGATTCTTCCTTTCTCGGGGAGGAAAGGCTATATAAAGAGAGCTAATGACATCAACCAGGACAGAACATACCGAAGGAGAAGCTCTTCCTCTCCATTGACCAACGTGGAGCCATCCTGAAGCTCTTGGCTGGCCTCTTCGCTGTGGTGCTGCTGATCTGGTCCACGATGGCTGAATTTTTGAATGCTTTTGGGCAATACGGATGTATTGGATTTAGAAGGTTTTGATAACAGATTCGGCTGGCATGCTTATTTGTGGTATGACAAGGTTAAAGTACATAGAGGCTTCTTAAACCACACTATAAGAAAATTAATTTATGAGGTCTGGAACAGATATAAAACATTATCAGAATGGAAAACTCCGTGGTGGCTTTCACCACTGGAAGCCTTCACAGTAAAAAAGAAAAATATGTTAACTGATTGGGCTACATACAAAGACTTGGTAATGGAAGTTGATAACAATTTGAAGCTAAAGTCATTTGAAGAGATAAGAGTTAAGCTATCAGATTGGTTGCAGTGCCATCAATTTCAAGATGTATTTAAGGAAGATAGTGAGAAAAATCTTTTGGTAACACTAAATCAAAACTAGAGACAGAGTTGCTAAACAGCAAAAAGAAAATCATTGTCAAAAATGTATAAGTTATTATTAGAATGGCATACAAAGGATGAAGAAGTTAAGTCAGTTATGATTAAATGGGCTCAAGATTTGGGTCATAATATTGAATTAGATAAGTGGGAAAGATTATGGACAAAACAATTAATTTTACTGCATATATGGCACTTAAGGAAAATTTAATGAAGATGATGTATAGATGGTAATTGATGCCAACTAAACTTGCTAAAACGTATAGAGCTCAAAATAAGGCATGTTGGAAATGCAAGGAGAAGGAAGGGAACTTCTTCCATATGTGGTGGGGGTGCAGTAAAGTTAAAGCCTACTGGGACATGATATACAATCAATTGAAAAATATCTTTAAATATACTTTCATTTTAAAAAGGAGGCTTTTCTATTGGATATTGTGGGAGAAGAAATTCCAAAAGTAGACTTAAATATGTTTATGTATACTATCATGGCTGGAAGGACACTTTTAGCCCAGAAATGGAAGCAGAAGGAACTTCCAACTTTGGAAGAATGGCAGATAAAAATGACTGAATATGCAGAAATGGCAAAGCTGATAGGGAAAATCTGAAACCAGCATGAAGAACTGTTTGAAAAGGACTGGAGTAAATTTATACAATATATGAAAGAACATTGTAAAAATTTGAATACTTTTGCAGGTTTGATTTAACATATTTTGTAATGATAATTTTTGAAACTGATTTACAAATACTAAAGTAATTTTTAAAAGCATAGTAGGAAGGTAAATAGGGTGATAAGAGGATTGTGATTGCTTAAGAAAGCCAGGGAGTGGGGGAAGTTGATGCACAGTATGAGCAAAGTTGTATGTGAGGATATGATTTGATATGAATGCGACAAAGGAAAAATATGAAAACTTAATAAAAATTGTGTGTGTGTGTGTAAAGGAAAAAGTGCACACTGCCGAGATAGGGACACAATAATGGCTTCTAAGAGCCGTGCTACGTCTGAGCTTCAGCAATCAGTTCAGACCTCTTTACGTGCTGCGCTTCTGAGGGAGACTGAGGGAAGAACCATAGGCCTGATTCCCTAGCTCCTCCCAAGGTGAGCTAAGCCTGGCAGGACAGCTTACTCAATGGTCTTAACCCCTTTATGCCTTAAGTAGACTTAAGCATATTGGTTATATGAGGCTGGTTAGCCCACAGAACTTCGCAGCCAAGAGGGAGTGAAAGGAAGGGGACTATCTTTCAGATATTTGGAGCCTGACTCCTTTAGGGCTTTAAACACAAATGGAAGTACATTGAATTGAGCCTGGAATCAAACGGGCAACCGATGCATCTGGTTTATATGTGATGAAAATGGAACTCCTGCTAGTAATCTGGCTGATGTATTATGAACCAAAGGAAGTTTCTGAGTTGCCTTCAAGGGCAGCCCCATTTTGCAGAGGTCCAGCTGGAAGTTACCAGAACATGGAGCACAGAGGTCAAGTCATCTGTGTCCAAAAGGGGCCATAGCTGGTGAACCAGTTGGAGCTGGAAAAAAGCACTACTTGCCAAGGCCACCTGAGCCTCCAGTGA